CAGAGTTTGTTGTGTGTTGGGAGCGTGCAGATTTCATCTCAGGTGCATTTTTTGTTGAGAGTGGCTGAGAAATGTTTTCGGTTGATTTTCCAGCTTCTCCCGTGCATGTAGTGTGTAGTCCAGTTGGAGCATGCCCTCAGACGGTGTGTTCAATGTTGAATGTGCTGTGGCCGTTTGTCCACACACAATCTAGGCAGTCATATTATTCTATTCATCATTGTTGTTGACCTGCTTGTTCACTGATTGGTCCATTCATTGTTAATATCATTGTAGCCTCGTTTTGACCCTGACTCCTGCAACTCATTTGTTTCATCAATTAAAAAAAAAAGAAATACAATAAGAAATATCGCTGGTCTCATTGTTTTCTTCTTTTGATTTAAATGAATTTGTGAAGAAATATATGTATGTGCATGTAAAACAGGTAAGACAGGGCGAACTTTGAACAACAAATGTGATAGTATCAGGTAAATATCGCAGTCCAAAAGTATTCCCGCCCTACATCGCCCATTGGATTTTTACTTTCTCGTATATACGAAGTATAGAGAAAGTCGTGTAATCGTGCAAAAAAAAAATAAATAAATCAAGATACGTTTTACTCCTCCCTGAGTCGGAAAAACATAGTTTTGTAATCTTGTCTGTGTGTGTGTGTGTAAACACGATACCTTGAGTACCGTTACAGCTAGGTTGATGAAATTTCATATGTACGTATTATATCAAAATCGTAGATCCGTATCAACATTTGAGCGATTTCCGATAACCGGAAGTGGAACTTTTTCTACTATGAACTTTTTAAAAGAGTACTATTTCAGATAAAACTCCCGTTTATTTTTTTTTAAAAGGTAGCGGTATAACTACCCAAACATACAAAAGCGCTATGCCTACAGCAACACTAGTTACAAATGTATTGAGACAAGCTCTAACATTTTGTTAAAAGAATCAGATTTCATTTCCAATAGTCAGGTTTTTAAAATTTTCTAGATATCTAACTCAAGCAGTAGTATGAGTACATGGGCGCCAACTTATCAATTTGAAAAAAAATTAGTACCCATCCTGCAAGATGGTAGTTGTTTGAATACGATTGTCCCATGCTATACTATACACCAGATACCATCATCTTATATTTTCACTGGATCTTTGAAGACATCAAACTTAAAACATAGATCTAATAATGCATGTATACACGATTCGAGACCGACCGCAGTAAATCTACTCATTATCTTCTTACTTAGACTTTGGCCGGTCGTCCCTAGCCAGTTCGCGAACTGGCGACCGGAGGTTACGTAGGCGTCTGAACCAAATGTCGGACAACAAAAGGGAGAAATCAAGTAGACCAATCACCGAGCCTTGGTCGGACTTCATGATAAATGCTGACAAAACTAATCGTATTCCACTTGTTCGTACTCTGCGCACTACTTGACATTTTTATGCAAGTTTAACATAACATTTGCTTGTTTGTCAAGTTACATATGCCAACATTACTAAGATACAAAGACTAGAAATCATGGACAAATAGCCTATACCAGTAGCGTAGCGAGGGGGGGGGGGGGCGGGGGGGGTACATATGTCCCCGGGCGCCGACCTTAGGGGGGGCGCCAAATTGAAAGTTTGAGGGGGGGGGGTGCAAATGAAAAGTTCGAGGGGTGGGTGCAAATCGAAAGTTTGAGGGGGGGGGGGTGCAAATGAAAAGTTCGAGGGGGGGGGGGGTGCAAATCGAAAGTTTGAGGGGGGGGTGCAAATGAAAAGTTCGAGGGGGGGGGGGTGCAAATCGAAAATTTGCTCTCGAGGGGGCGCCAAATTGGAAGTATGTCCCCGGGCGCCGGGAAGGGTCGCTACGCCTCTGGCCTATACCACAAAGCTGCCCCCAGCCCTGTAAACATTGAATAATTAGCGCGCCCCCCCCCCCCCAACACACACAAATCCATTTCTGAGAAAGGATCTAGGAATTCCCTCTGCCGACCCCTCACCCCATGTTATTACTGAGTTACTCCCTTCTTGAAAATACATTATTCGTTATATTTGGTAAGCAGGTGTTCTTTGAGGTATTTCTAATGGGAGGGGGGGGGGTATAGGTGAGAATAATTTGCAGGTTAAATGTAAAAATGACAAACGGCTGTGTAATCCAAGTTTTCAAAATTTTCATCTTGTAACAAGGTATCGAAATTATTGATTTTAGGCTAATACATTGAAGTAACTTGACTGATTTTGTTATTTACCTTAATTAACAATCAACATCGGCCTAATTTCACGATCATAACAGTTTAAAGTTCACAACTAGACTACCTGAAATCTGTTCAAGACCAGTTAGTCGTAAGGTAGAGTAAAATTGGGTAAGATGAGTTTGGGAAGAGAAGGTTGATTAAGGGGTGAGCGGAAAAAAAGTCACAGGAAAAAAAACACAGAAAAAAGTCACAGTTTTTGCTAGGAAAAAAAGTCACAGAAAAAAAGACTCAGTGGAAAAATTTTATCGGAAAAAAAGTCACAGAAATAAAGTCACAGAAAAAAAGTCACAAAAATCTTTTTAGAAATCTTTTTATTAATTTGATCAAAATTGTAAAATTTTGTATGTTTATTGTTGTGGGTTGTATTTTTTTTATAGCATTAATTATTTATAGACGTTAAAAGCATTATGATTTATAACAATTGTAAGTAACAATACTCTAAGATAATAACACAACAATCTCAACATTTGTTACGTATTTAGTTAAATACGCGGTAGAAAAGTTAATTATAAAAGAAATTTAGGCACATTTTGCCGTAGGCTATTCTCTGGTCGGCCTCTCCTCAGTAGGCATGGTCCGAACATATTTTGTGTTGTTGACGTTATGCGTCATCGACAGTCTTTGAACCTTGTCGGCTTTCCGTTTTGATCCTAATTTTTGTTATGTAATGAGCGTGATAAATGTGGGTAGTAAAGGTGGTTGAACTAAACATAACTATTGTAGCCATGAGTTGAGGGCAGCAAGTCAGATGAACTCACCATTTCACGGTAATTTAATATTGGTATTTTAAAAAGAAACACGATGACAAACATGGACTTTGGAGCATTCTATTAAATGCTACTAATCTTAAGTTTAAAATAATTACAATCTACATACTTTATTATAAATATTTTTAGATGAATTATAAAAATTCCTATGCGTATACAGCCTACACTCATTACATTACATGTAATTAATCCTAAGTTAATTTGCACTCTCTAAATATTTAATACATAAAAGTATTAACAAATATCATTCAAATATATATTTGTGACTTTTTTTCCTGTGACTTTTTTTCCTGTGACTTTTTTTCCTGTGACTTTTTTTCTGTGTTTTTTTTTCCTGTGTTTTTTTTTTTTCCTGTGACTTTTTTTCCTACAATCGATCAAGGAGGGGAGGGTAGGGGAGAATAAATTAGAATGGGTAGAATCTAGGATAGAATAGAAGAATGTAATAAAGTAGAATTAAGTAAAACAGTAGAATCTTGTAGACTAAATTAGAATAGAACACAATAAGTTAACGTTTTGTGTCTAGTTATAGTTATTATCATTAATGGTTTTTTAAAAATGATTCTTTTATTACAACTAAAATCCTTCCATTAAATAAAAAGATAATATATACTGTAATGGATTGACGATAGAAGCATGTGGTTGTATATAAAACGTTTATTGGCCTTCAACTACATGATGATAACGAGAGAGGGCGGAAGTGACGAGAGACAAAGATATATATACATGTAAGGGACATCACTCAAGATAACAGTATAAATATAATACTAATACAAGAAGAGTGAGTTCCCTTGACTTCACAAGTCTCACTATATTACATATACTAAATCAATTTTTTAATATAAAATATTCCACGAAACAGCCCCCTCTTACTTATCAGACCTATTTCTTTTAACATAAAATTAAATCGTCGTCTTAATTTACCATTCCCATATACAACTTTTTTCCAAAAACATAGCTTCGCCTGCTCTGGTTCTAATTTGTGGAACAATCTTCCAAATAAAATAAAGCTATCTAGATCTGAAAATATATTCAAATCTATAATATACTACTAAAACTCAAGTTTGTTTACATGTTTGAATATTTATTTATTTGTTTGTCTGATTTGGAATAGTTTTTCTTTTAAAAATACAAACAAGTCTGAGACTTGGCGGGGCACTGGGCAGGTGAAGTAGAGTTTAGTAGAGTTTTTAAAATATAAAAAAACGTCTTTTTGAATGTGGGGGTCTGGTTATTTTGGGATGATAAGTGCTGGCAGACGTGATGTCATTTATGGATGACCCCCCCCCCCGAAACCCACAGTTATCTAACTAGATAACGGGTAGTCTAGTCGACTACACTAAAACTACAATTATTTAATGACCTCTCTAACTGACTCATTGTAACATTTCTCATTCATCTATTATATTCTCTTTTTTTTATCTCATTTTGTATTATAACTATGTAACATTATTTCTTTATTCTACATTTTAGTGCTATGTTACTGCTATGTGTTATTGGATTGTTTTATTTGTTTAAACGGCCAATGTGAAAAAAAGGCCTTCGTGCCTACAATTGTAACAGTGTTTTTAATAAATTTGAAATTTGAATACAGTTATTTGTTTATTCGTCCAATTATGGTGTAGGGTATTATTTTATAATTTTAGTTAAAAGTAACGGAAAGGTGAATGATGTTTTTAATGCTTTTAGTTTTTTTCTACGATTGGGTTGTCACTTCTGCTAAGATTTTACTAGACTAGATCTAGATTTCGATAGATTCTTCTCTAGACCTAGATCTCTAGATAGATTAGATTTAAAAAATATAATTCTGGAACATGAGTTGGTTGTAAGCGTATCAATTTTTTCTTTATCAGCTTTTAACACTGATCAGTTAGTTACCAAATGTTTTATCATTAAAAATAAAAGCTTTGCCTCGATGTAGAAAGGGGTTGGGAAGAGGGAGGAAAGGCTCATTGCACCCCAGAAAGACCGCCCCTGAAATAAAGGGAAGTGTTTGGGAAAGGAAAATGAGCAGATAACTCTAAATGCACAGTTACCGTAACACCAGAAAAAAGTTTTCAATAACCAAGACTAGGTTAGAATAGATCATAGTCTAAGTTAGCTGTATTTATTAGAATTTGTAATACTGCAGCCAGATCTAGAATTCTAGTATTATTTTAATAAATATATGTATTTTTAACTAGTCTATATTTATATATTAGCCTAGGCCTAATCTAATGATATTTATTTCGATTCCTAGTCATAGCATCAGAATTATTTCAGAATTAATAATTCTCTAGAAACTAGAAATCTAGTCACATTCACAATTTATTAATTAGATCTAGATCTAGATCTAGTAGTGAGTGCTGAAATAAAAATATAATCTAGATCTAGAAAATATAGAATAAATACTGGACTGGTACTAGATTCTACTGTAAAATGTGTAAACTGTTGTAAAGTAATGTAAAGGAGTAAAGGCTGTATCTGTATTGTAACTATTATTCTCTAAATTATTCTTTATTCTCAGGATTCTCAATACATTCTAGAATCTAGATCTAGAATCTATTCTGTTCTGTGTAGTTGTAGGGTCTGTGTTGGCCTGCAATACACTCTACACTGTAGAGTCTACAGTAGTCTACAGTCTTACATCTTACACTGAGTACAGCTGAGTGACAGTGAGGTGAAGTGAACTGTGAAGAGAGAGAATGGCAGAGTCAAATCAATCATCTCCCAATTTATCTCAACAAAATCAAACTCCAAGTACTGTAACAGAAACAGTTCAAGAAGAAGAAGAAGCCACACCGGTCAGTTTTCAATTTAAAAAAAAAATAATAGGCCTGTAGCCTAATTTATTATATTATTAGGCCTAATTGCTTTTCTTTTTAAATCTGAAATTTAGAATTCTCTAATTTCTCTTAATAAACAATTAAATAGTAGGCCTTATTCCTGAATAGTTTAAATAGAAAAAAAGCCAACTAGTACTACTTTACTCAACTTTACTTATTACCGTTAATAGTTGACTAAATTTCTATAATGATAGTTATGCTATTTTGTCTGTTTGTCGGGAACGCTCTAGACAAGCAAAATAAAAAGATGCAGAGTGAAAAACCATGTCGTCACATGGAACGTCTAGGAAGATTTCGAAATGAAGCGAAATGTGTACTGTTCTAAAGCCGGAAGAGTCCCGCCTGTTCTCCCACCCCAAATAAAATACAATTTTTGTACAAAAAAAATATACTTTTACTTTTTAATACTTATATTTAAAGTGTCACCCTTTAGCAGTGTCACCTGGTGTGGTCTGCACTTCCTGCCCCCTCCTTTTGATGCTTCTCTTTGAGGATAGCTTCTGTTTGAGGATAGCTTCTGTTTGAGGATAGCTTCTGTTTGAGGATAGCTTCTGTTTGAGGATAGCTTCTGTTTGAGGATAGCTTCTGTTTGAGGATAGCTTCTGTTTGAGGATAGCTTCTGTTTGAGGATAGCTTCTGTTTGAGGATAGCTTCTGTTTGAGGATAGCTTCTTTATCTACCATTAGTAGCTGCCAGTCTCTAAAATATAATGTGCGGAAATAATTTATGCAAAAATATTTTTTAAAAAATTTGTTAATATATCTAAAATATTAATTTCAGAGTCCCCCAGTACTTCAACTTCGATTACAAGCAAAAAATGGACACAAAGTGAAATGGGCTACAGATACAGTGGACAACGAATTTATGGGGAAGAAGAAATCTAAATGTAAGCACAAATTTTGAGCTGCCAATACAATCTGAAATTTAAAGTTGATCTTCCTCACATGACGTGTTTAGTTTTTGTTGATATACTGTAACGGACACCTATCTACCAGCCAGATAGATGGTGAACGCCCCCGGATTCTTTCTTGGGGTTATATGCAAATGACCTAAAGCCTAAGTGAATGAAAACTAACTCAACAACTCACTAGGGCTCGATTTCGAGGTCTAGGGAAAACTAGTGAAACTATTGAAGTTAACAACTCATTCAATCTGCATACAACCTTTAATAAGTGAACACAGTTGTGGCAGAACACAAGGTTAAACAAGATAAAATATTTAGTTTAGAAAATAACAAAACCCAACTTACGAAGCGTAAGAAAAAATACTATCACAGATTCTAACACTTTATAAAAATAGCCACAGGTCACATAACACTGCTATAGCATCAAGAATCACTTGGCCACAAGTAATATAATACTAGAATACTTAAACAACTTAAGAATGCATAGCACACTCAGGACTTAAGCTCTCTCACGTTCAAATGGTCAGAATGGACTGCCGGTCAAAATGGACGGCCTGGTCATAATGGACTGCCTTGGTGTGTTACCAAGTACTTAAGTCATACGACCACACAGGTCGAGGGCCACCCTGAGGGTCATGGGATCTACGCCACCTTGGGCGAGCGTGATCCAGGCCACTGCGTAACAGTGCCACCCTACTCGGCTCCGAACCGAGGAATTGAACCTCGGCCGCCGCCGTGGCGCGCCGAGATTCTAACCATCAGGCCACTAATGGTATTCCTAACCACTGTGCCACACCACAGACTGGTGAGCTACCATTCTCGGTTTCCCTCCGAGGAATGGAACCTCGGCCGCCGCCGTGGCGCGCCGGGATCCTAGCCACTAGACCACATATGGTGTTATAACAATGTCAAACTAAAACATTACTAGACCTCAGTAGGTCACAATACCAGTCTAAAACTGATGTTACTGTGTTGCAGGTTGTTGCATATATGAAAAGCCCAAAGTGTTTGGAGAGTCAGATACATCGTCTGATGAAGATGACAATGAAGGGTGCACCCCACATTGCAGGGGCCATAAGAAGAAGTGCTACAGGCACCACAAGCCCCATAGCTCAGACACTGGGAAAGATGAACACAATGACCAGGATAGTCTCCATAAAGATGGTGAAAATTAACAAATGTTGATAGTTTTGGTATTTATATTTGTATAGCTTTTTAAAATTATTTTTCTGTTGGGTTGTCCTTCGTACATTATAATTGTTGTTACAGTATTCAAGTTTTTTGTTTACAATTTATTCTGTATATATTCAAATTGGCTTGGATGAAATGACCAAATCAAAAAGAAGTAAAATTATTTTAATGAAGGTCATTTTGGTTTATTTAATTCTAGCAAGTCATTTTTATACCTATTTTTATATGTGAACCTAGTATATATTGATGTTTTTGACAGTTTACCTAACTTGTAGACAAGCAGATAAGAGCTTAAATAGCTGGGGGTGTTTGGAGCTACAGGCTAGGGGTTGGGGGTATTTTCAGCTACAGGCTAGGGGTTAGGGGTGTTTGCAGCTACAAGCTAGGGGTTGAGTAATATTTCTTGTCAAACATCTTTTATAAATGTACACATATTTTTTACTCAGTATGTTCATTGCTTCGGTTGTTTACTTTAATGAACTCACTGACAGATTTGTTTTTCTAATATCAAGTTTGCTAAAACTGAATGGAGCAATAGCTATTGCTATTTCCATAAAGAATTTTTTTTTTATTGTCATCATTGCTGTATCAGTATATGGACTCAAGTGAAGCAAAAAAACACACACGATATATTTACCCTCAATTGTAAAAAAAAAACATTTTTAAATTTATTTTTCTTATGTTCTCAGTTTGATTTATTGTTTTACTGTGGGGGGGTTTCTATAATTTGAAGTAAAATGTTATTGCTTGGTCTTGGAATTTTGTGGGTTTCTATATTTTAATGTAAAATGTCGTTGCTATGTCGTGAAATTGATAGGTTAGTCTCAAAAAATATTTTTATTTAGCAAAGCGTTAGCTAAATCATGTAAATGTGGATAGAATGTTTGTCTGTGTAAAAATCCTTTTCTACATTTTTCTGTCAACTTGTATTAAAAGTTTGATTTTGTAATAAACATGTAAATTTGAAAGAAATGTACATTTCAGCATTAATTTTAAAATAACTGTCAGAAACATTTTGTGTCAATGTATTGGGCCTATCCAAGAAAAATTGTTCTGGCTACTGTAAAAAGTCTTTCACACTTGTTGATAGTTTGTAGCTGTCATGTTTTCTCTCTCCAGGTCCAAGCCCAGGGCCTAGTAGGTCTGATGATGCAAGTCCCACTTGATGTGTTATGTGCTTGCTTTTGCCCTGACAGCAGTTCATCTACAATTGTGATAAACAATTTCTACCGACCATTAGACTGAAATGATTTGACGTTTTTAAATGGCTCCTGTAATTATGTGTAGCACTTGGTAAATTTGTCAGAATCCTATATTAGCTGAACTAGCCCTATGTTTTTCTAAGTCATGCAACTACTTTGTTACTTCCATAATAGAATTATTGTTTGATACATACTATATAAGTGATAGTATATATTTCTTTGTTACAATTTGAAAAAAAAACATGACATTACTTTATCGAATGTTGCTACCAAAAAAAAGAGATAAGAATGTTTAAATTTTGCTCCATTTTTTACTTGAAATATAAGAAATGTTTTGCTAGAATTTAGTAGGTAACTAGTTGGCCAACAGTAGAAGATTACTGGCTGAGACACTGAAAACATCAGCTTGTTGTAACCTCTCCTAATGTTTTTGCTTACCAATGCACAGTGACTTTGTAAATATATTGTGATTGTATAGACTATTCATCTCTATATAAAATCTAGACAAAAATTGTTAGATGTTCATGTCTTTTAATGTGTACATGTGTATCCTATACTACTAGTATATACAACATACAGAATGAAGACATCCATATGTATGATAAAGTTAGTTGAGTGTCTTAATAAAAGATTTTACATACCACATTTACATGACAAGGGGAGTCAACAAGCTCAAACAAAAATCAATAAAACAAAAAGTTTATTCAACTCAGAGGCAGAAACGATTAATGCTGCAAAAGATGTTGAAAAAGTCTAAGGCACATTAAAATGCAACAAGTGAATTAAAAAGACCAGATAGTTATTCCAAAAAAAGTATTTACAAACATTAAATATTTTTGTTTGGTATGAATGTATGCGTTTTTTAACTTGCTAATTGTGCCAGCCTCATCATTCTAATAAAACAATAATGAATAAAAGATATCATTTGTTATCATGTACACTTACAAAAAGTTTGAGACAAGTTTTTACAAAGATAAGACAGTCAGGTGAAAGAGTAGGCAAGAAAGAGATGAGGCACGTAGTCCACAGCATAATTTGAACAAAAAACTGGAAACATGAATACATCTACCGTAAAGAGGTAATGATGGGTTTCTAAATATGATTCCCTATGATTCTTTATCTTGTTTCTCTAATTTCTCAATTTAAATACAGCTAACAACAGTCTACAATTGTACTTTAAGAGCTGAAATGCAAAAGGAGAGAAAAGTATAAAAATTATTTTGGTAAGATTGCTCTGAGAATGTATACTGGGTTTAACTGTACAATTATTTACACAAAGCACCAATTAAAACTTTTATAGTTTTGATTTTGGTTCACTTGAAAGCACCATTTAAAATGTATATATTAATAACAGTGTCAGAATTCTTTCACGCCTAAATGGATGTCCACCTCTCTATAGTATAAGTTAAACACAGTTATAAAATTTACATTAGGTAAAGTTACTTGTTTATATGCTTGATTACATTTTTATGTAAGTTAAGAAATATTTGAATGATATACATAATTTTATTTAGTAATATATGGGGAATTATTGCATAAATAAATATTTTCCTACTTCTAACTAAAATTGTGACAACTTCAAGTCAGGCCAGCAAATGTACTTAACATTTACCCTTGCTGAATTCAACTATTTAAGTCCACACATCAAAATGGCCATTACTTAAGTCAAAAGTAACAAAGAAAAAAGCACAAGTCAAGATATTACATTTTGGGCCCAATGTGTAGAACATCCATAACAAAGGTAACAGCTGCCAAGGGATCTTCAAAGTCCTTAATGTTATCCCTGGACAGGACCCACGCTGGCTGAATCTTGCGCCGTTTGGATTTGCAAGGTGTCATTACTGGAAGAGTGTAGTTGCAGGATTTCATGGCTGCCAGTTTGGCTTTGGTTACCTGCCTGGTTTGGTTGGCCCGTTGTTTGCGCAGCGTAAGGGCATGAACACTCTGTAGTCTTTCAACAATGTGGGGGTGTTGCATTATTTGCTGAGGACCAACCAATTTAAAATTTGATGAATTTAATTGAGATAACTCCATGTTGTAAGCTCATGTAATAATTAATTTATTAATAAAATGAGCCACCAACGCTATCAGCTCATCGCATAGATGTAAAGTTCTACTTCTATAAGACTTACCACTCTGCATCCTTCCTTCAAGCCCAGGATTCCCAACAGCATGCAGCTGTTGAAGAAGATGAGACCTTTCTCTCTGAAGATCTGCAGCAGCTCAAGAATAGTGGCAATGCTCTCTTCTGGCTCTATCACAGCCTCCACCGTTTTATCATACTAAAAAATTGTTGGTTAAATATTGGTTTACTAAATCGTTGATTGTTAAGTATTGGTTTACTGAAACATCATTATTTGTTGAATATTGATTTACTAAAAAATTGTTGGTTAAACATTGGTTTACTACAAAAATGGTTAAATAATGATTCACTAAAAATTGTTGGTTAAATATTGGTTTACTAAAACAGTTTTAGTTGTTTTACTAAAACGTTAAGTATTTTTTAATTAAAACATTTGTTAAATATTGATTTACTAAAACATCTTAAGTTAAATATTGACTTACAAAAATTGTTAAATATTGTGTTACAAAAATTGATAATTATATATTTTCTAAAACAACCCCCAAAAAATAACAGTATAAGGGAAACTACTCTGGTTGTAAAAAAATAAACCAACTAAAAGTGTTCCCACCTTTGACAAATTCAGTAGAATGTTGACTGCATATTTTATAAGCTCCATGTGGGGGACACTGCGGTTGCAGCTGTTGATCAGGCGATACAGCACAGAAACAGCATTCACCTCCACCATTTTTAAACAGCACACAGGTGAGAGTCGAGTGGAGACCTCTGGCAGAGTTCAAGAAAATAATAACTGACAGAGTTTACATCACTACAGTGGAGACCTCTGGCGGAGTTCAAGAAAACAATAACTGACAGAGTTAACATCACTACAGTGGAGACCTCTGGCAGAGTTCAAGAAAACAATAACTGACAGAGTTTACATCACTACAGTGGAGACCTCTGGCAGAGTTCTAGAAAATAATAACTGACAGAGTTTACATCACTACAGTGGAGACCTCTGGCAGAGTTCTAGAAAATAATAACTGAGTTTACATCACTACAGGATCTTTAACAACATCTGCTAGTACTTACATAAGTAACCATCTAATAAAATTACCAAATAAGAAATCATAATGGGCTATAGAGAGAACAAATATTTTACCACAATTTATAATACAATTTTTTTTTTTTCAATTATAAAACCACCAGTTTAGATTTTTTAAAAACAAAAACATAAGTTAAAAGTACTTAAATTAAAAAAAAAAAGCAGATTTTAGAAAGAGAAAAGTAATTCCTGCACAGCCAGTGAGCTGATTTTGTAGAGATGACTATGCTAATAACTTTAACAGCAGTCTAAAATTAATTTGTTTTTGTCAATGTTGGCACTAGCCTTACCTAAATGCATTAAAGCCTCCAGAATATAAGCCAGGTCTTTTTCTTTCAAGAGATAGTCCAAGGCAGATGATGTACGTGAGCCTAGGGTTTGCTCATAGGTGGCAGCGCGGGTTGCCTCTTGCAGACGCCTTCTGGTCAGGGCAAGCTTTTTATTCTTTGAGTCTCTGCGAGCCACATAACCACGCCACAAAGCCTACAACAAACCATTTAAACAGCATTTAAAAATAAAACACAATTTCACAAACCCACGTAACCACGCCACAAAGCCTACACCAAACCATTTAAACAGCATTTAAAAATAAAACACAATTTCACAAACCCACGTAACCACACCACAAAGCCTACACCAAACCATTTAAACAGCATTTAAAAATAAAACACAATTTCACAAACCCACGTAACCACGCCACAAAGCCTACACCAAACCATTTAAACAGCATTTAAAAATAAAACACAATTTCACAAACCCACGTAACCACACCACAAAGCCTACACCAAACCATTTAAACAGCATTTAAAAATAAAACACAATTTCACAAACCCACGTAACCACGCCACAAAGCCTACACCAAACCATTTAAACAGCATTTAAAAATAAAACACAATTTCACAAACCCACGTAACCACGCCACAAAGCCTACACCAAACCATTTAAACAGCATTTAAAAATAAAACACAATTTCACAAACCCACGTAACCACGCCACAAAGCCTGCACCAAACCACTTAAACAGCATTTAAAAATAAAACACAATTTCACAAACCCACGTAACCACACCACAAAGCCTACACCAAACCATTTAAACAGCATTTAAAAATAAAACACAATTTCACAAACCCACGTAACCACGCCACAAAGCCTGCACCAAACCATTTAAACAGCATTTAAAAATAAAACACAATTTCACAAACCCACGTAACCACACCACAAAGCCTACACCAAACCATTTAAACAGCATTTAAAAATAAAACACAATTTCACAAACCCACGTAACCACGCCACAAAGCCTACAACAAACCATTTAAACAGCATTTAAACATAAAACACTATTTCATAAATCCACATAACCACGCCACAAAGCCTGCAACAAACCATTTAAACAGCATTTAAAAATAAAACACAATTTCACAAACCCACGTAACCACACCACAAAGCCTACACCAAACCATTTGAACAGCATTTAAAAATAAAACACAATTTCACAAACCCATGTAACCACACCACAAAGCCTACAACAAACCATTTAAACAGCATTTAAAAATACAATATGATTATACAAGCCCACTTATCCCACCTCTAGAAAGCCTGATTCATTAAAAAACTCACCTGAAGTTTGACAGATGCCTTTTGTCTCGTCCTTTCTTCATGAAGAATATTTAATCTCTCATTTAATTCAGCCTGGAAAAAATACTGGAATTTAATGGCAAGCTAACACATTGTTTTTTTAGAAATGAATAAAATGGATTTTAAAATTTTGTCCAGGTGCTGTTATTATAAAAAGTTGAATCTGTATTGGTTTCTCAACAGGACAAAATTTTAAAAGGTTAATGCATAAAAATACCTATATAAATATGAAAACAAAAGTAAAAGTTAACTTCCATCTTTCTATTTTTTCAAGAGTGTTAAAAACTACAAATATGCAGGTCCTACACTGTGAAAAAAACTTTTTACTCACTGAATACTTTTTCCTCACAAGGAACCCTCTCACAGCTGCCTGCACCAAGGTCAAGGCTTTTTGCTTCTTCCTCATCTCTTCCACTTCCTGTCTAGCCTTCTTCCCTCTGACTAAAGACTGAAGCAGGATCACAGAGTGACGGAATGCTAGGTAGCGCTTTCTGGCAGCATACATTCTATACACAGACTGAATAATGGCAGCGGACGAGGACAGCTTTTTCTGAACAAGGAGAGCGGCAAACTCTCTCTTCGCCTTTTGGTTTGCTACAAATTTCTGGAATGTTCTCTGGATGACTCTGGCTGCTGAAGCTTCCACCTGGTGTTGTTTATGTCTGTAGAGACGATAAGCTCTTTGGATGATTCTAGCTGCGGTGTGCTGAACTTTGTTCTCCATCTTCCGGTGTTTGGTGAACATAAAACTTGTCAGAGTTTGACTACAACACTGAGTGTTGGTCACTGTTTCTTGATAGACTGACCAGTGGGTGTAAACATAAACAGCTGATTTGTCTCTCGTCAACTCCCTGACCTTCCTCCAAGCACGCACAACTGTCTGAATTTTGACAACAGCCTGACGTACCTTCAAAAACCTGTCCCTGTCCCTTCTCATCAGCTGTTTCTGCCTGACCTGCCTCTGCACCCACACCACACAGCGTCTGGTTGAAGAAAATCTTTTCCTGGCAATAAACCTCCTCACACAGCTTTGTATCACAGTCACAGCAGTCAAAAGTCTCACAAATTTCTCTCTCTCCCGTTTCATTCTCACGAGGCTCTGAATTTTCAAAGCTGCAGCCTGATAGGTTAAAAATTCTCTCCTAAGTTTTCTCCCCTCTAAGATTTCTCTCCACCTCACCTGGATGATCCTGCTAGCCAGACGCATCCTCTCAAATCTCCTACGGTAAGCAAACCCTTTCACTAGGCGCTGCAGCAACAAAACTTGTTGCATGCTTCTCTTAAACTTCTGCTGGGCCAAGAAAGATCGTACAAATTTTTGTATGGTTGTAGCAGCTGCCTGCCTTTTTTTCTTCCTCTTCTTTTCTAAATAATTTCTCATATTCCTTTGTAAAACAAATGCACATTTCTCTCGCTTTATTCTTTCAGCTTCTCTCAATTCTTCAATTAAGCGCAGTTTATTTTTTCTTTCAATCTCCAACAACTCTGCTTCTCGTTGTCTGGCTATCTCTCTTTCAACTTCCTTTCTCCTGTCTGCTACAACTTTCTTGGCTTCACGGATCTGCTTTAAGCTGAGCCTGCTCCTCTCAATCAGGCAGACGGCGGCCTTCATTCTTTCCACATCTCTCCTGACACACCTGCCCTCTTGAAGGGCGCGGAAACGCCTTTGAATACAGACTGTTGCAGCACGTAATAACAAGAAATCTTGGCGCTGGCTCCACCCACGATAGATGGACTGGATTTTAGTAGCAGCCAAATTCTGGAGGTCAATGTCCTGCTGAGCCAGCCTGCGAGACCTGACAGATCTGTAGAATCTCTGGATGACAACACTAGACTTTCTGATGAGGACAAACGCCTCCCTGAAAACTTGGCCTAGAACAAAAGCTCTGTAATGTCTCTGAATGACAATGGCGGCAGATCTCATGGTCTTGTATTTTTTTACTGCTAGTCTACATCTCACCAGGGCTTGAATTTTGACAACCGCATGACAGACATGGAGGTATTCTTTTTTCAGCCTGTAGACCCTGTAAGCTGATTGGATAGTTTTTGCTGCCTGTTTCTGCTGTAGGAATCTCTGGCGTATTTGTTTTGCCAATCTGACCTCTCTCAGTCTGGTCTGAATGACTAAAGCAGCTTTCTTTTTTAACAGGAATTTTTTACGAGCTGTAACTCTTCTAAAAGCTGTCTGTAAAACTTTGGCAGCAGCAACTCTCTTCTCCAACCTCTGACCTAAAATTTCCCGCCACCTCCTCTGCACCAAGATGGTGGCTTGCTTGAGCTGTTTACCTGCCAAGTTCTCACACCGCTTCTGGAGGGTGAGGGCTTCCAGCTGCTGCGCCAGGTACTTCTGTCTGCAGGTGAACCGCCTGTAACCGGCCTGTAGAACCAGCACAGCCTGCCTTGTTTTAAAAAACTCTTGTCTCTGGTACCTGCTCCTCCACCAGCTTTGAATAGAAACAGCAGCTTTTCTCTGACCTATGAACTCTGACCTGCAATGTTTTGCCAACACATTGGCTCTGTGCCAGCTTTGTATGATCAGTGTGGCCTCTCTTACACGAGTGTAGCTCTGTCTCTGTGTGTACATTCTCCAACATGACTGCAGAGTAATGGCAGCATCTTTCATTTTGTTAAATCTCTTCAAACAAGTAAAACCTTTCCAAGTCTTCTGAATGAGAACTGCGCACTTGTTTTGTCTCTGTGATTGTAGAACCAGCATCAGCCTACGTGCTTGCACCATCTTCCAGTGTGACTGTAGGACAAGCGCTGATTTTTTCAGACAGCTAAACCTCTTCCTGCATCGCCAGCCTCTGGAGTATTTCTGCAAGGTAACCACGGCAGTCAACATTTTTTCTTGTCTGAGTTTTCTCTCTCTCTGTGCCTGTCTCCAGTACCTCTGTATCTGGACTGTAGAGGCTCTCACCTGCAAGTATTGCCTCCTTGCCTTCATACCTCTCACGTGCTTCTGAATTTTAACTGCAGCTCTTTCCATTTTCTCTAACTTAAGTGTCTTCAATTTTCTTTTTGATTGCTTTACGCGCCAGTAGTTTTGTAAGGTAATGACAGCAGATTTATATTTGTGATATTCCTTCTGACATTTGTATGCTCTAAAAGATTTTTGTATGAGTATTGCACATTGCTCCCTGCGAACCAATTTTAGTCTTTCCATTTCTGTTTTTGCTAGCAGCATTCTCCAAAAGCTTTGAATGACGACAGCAGCTTTCCTCAGTGAAATGAATCTCCTCTGCATCATTCGGCCTCTCCAAACCTTCTGAAGAACCAAGACGGCCTGTGTGTGTCTGCTGAGTTTCAGCCCAGCAAGTTCCCTCTCAGCCAGAACACTCCGCCAGTGTTTCTGTAAGACAACCACCGCTGATCTCTTCAACAAAAATTTCCTGCGCTGGATGCCAGCTTGAAGCACACTCTGAACAATCACGGCAGATTTAGCTCTTCTCTCAAGCTGAAGCTCTCTCAGCTGTCTCTGGGCCAAACATCTCCTCCAGTGTTTCTGCAATACAGTGGCAGCACTTTTCTTGCGCAGGTACATCTTGCGCCCTCTAACAGCCCTGACAACACTTTGGACAATGACAGCAGCCCTGTTGTCCCTGGCCTGCTGTAGCTGTGCAAACAGCTTCAGCGCCTGGTGCTTTCTCCAGTGTTTTTGGAGCACGACCACGGCATTCTTCTGTCTGATGAAGGCCTGGCGCTGGGCCACACACCTGACAACACTCTGCACCACAACAGCAGCGCGGACAGTTCTCTCACGCCTCAGCCTCACCAGCTCCCTCTCTGCTAGACACCTCCTCCAGGTTTTCTGTACAACCACGGCAGCTTTTTTCTTTTTCTCAAACAATCTAGCCAAGATCCAACTTTTTAAGATGCTCTGAATCAAGATGGCCGCTCTGTTCTCTCTCTCAGTTCTCAGTCTCTTCAGCTCAGCTCTGGCAAGTTTACGCCTCCAACAACACTGAACAGTGACGCAAGCTTTCTTCATTTCTTTATATTTTCTCTCACACAGTCGCCTGCGCACAAATTTCTGGATTGTTGTTGCAGCACAATGTAGACGAGCCTCTCTCAAAGCTCGCAGCTGCTGTTTGGCATGGAACATTCTCCAGTTTTTCTGTATAGCTACAGCGGCTACCCTCAACTTGTTGAACCTGTTCCTACAAATCTGGCGCCTCATGTATTTCTGTATGACAACAGCGGAGTTTTTCATCAGCTCAACTTTCAACATGGCCACCTTTCTCCTGGCTAGTTGCCTTCTCCATAAGGATTGTATTTTAACGGCCGCAGCACGCTGCCTCAGGAAGTCTTGACGACACTTGAGACCCCTCAAGTGTTTCTGTAACACAGTGGCCGCCAGCTCTTGTCTGTCCAGCAAGGTTTTTGTCTGCTGCTCCTCCCTCAGCTTAGCGGTCAGTCTGCGGGCAGCGTGTGCACGCCACAAGCTCTGTATGACCACAGCTGACCTGGTTTCCTTCTTCAACGTTTCAGCTGCCAGTCGCTCCTGTCTGAGGTTGTTGGCTGCTCTTCTTGCTAGCTGACTCCTCCACACAGCCTGTATACAGACGGCAGCTTTGGCTTGCTCGGTCAGAAGTTTTTTAGCAAGAAATGGTCGAATCCAGCGCTGGATTGTTACAGCAGCCTTTGTCCTTATCTGTTAATTGATAACAAAGGATAAAAAAAATAATTAATTTAACCTCCATATAAAGGACAATTTTGGCCACAGGTAAATTTAAAACCTCAAGGTACTATTTAAAATATAAAATAATTCAGAGCAAATTGACAGGTACCTGTCTCTTTTTGATGGCACGCCCCAACTGGCGCCTCCGCCAGACCATCTGAATAATTCTGGCAGCTCTCACTTCCTCTCTGATGTCTAGAAGCCTGGCACACAAGTAGGCCGTGTAGGTCGAAACGACCTTTTCATCAGGGATGGTGTTGGACATGTCAGCAGACTTGAGCATCAAAGGTACACCTCCAAGCTCTGACACCTGAGGCAACAAACACATTTTTTTTTTGGGTGTGGAATATTTAATTTAAGCTACATCTGCTACTTTATAAAAGTATCACATGCTTTTTTATATCAGAAAAATACTACATTTTGTAAAAGTAAAGTTCCCTTTTCAAACCTGACAGTCCATGGGGCAAGTGAAAGAGAGTTCACCTGTTTCTGTGACCTCGGCATATGAAGGGATAGTGTGGTCAGCACTATGCCCAGCTGCCTTTACTTTCCTTAACATGAGAAAGGTATCCATCAAAGTTGGGTGTATTCAATGAGGTTCTACTGAATCGAACTCTAGACTTTCGGGTTAGCAGTCTAGCGCTCTAGTGCTAGACCATAACTAATTTGTATAAAACTTAAAATTACCTTTTCATACAACGTTTTAAAGTTGGTTTTCTCATTGGTCAACAGTCTCTCAAACAATTCTGGATCATTTTCTGTGGGACAAACAAAAATTTACTCAAAATCAATAATAAAACATATTAAGATGTGCCTAAAACCAACTGAAACAAACTGTTAAATTACATTAATATATGGATTTATAAATGCAGACTGACCATTAGGGACCAGGCCACCCCCATGACCCCAGTCCATGCTGGCGTCAGGGTCCATCTCCACCTCACACTGTCTCTCAGCAGCCTCCTGGAAGCTGACCGAGGTCTGGAACCTGATGTCTGAGAGAGGCAGCAGGGCGGGGTGGTAGTGGTGGATCAGGCAACACAGGGCTCGGCCGTCAGAGAAGGAGACCGTGAAATTTTCAACCTGTTGATAAAAACAGAGGAGACGGTGACATTTTCAACCTGTTGATAAAAACAGAGGAGACGGTGAAATTTTCAACCTGTTGATAAAAACAGAGAAGGAGACGGTGAAATTTTCAACCTGTTGATAAAAACAGAGGAGACGGTGAAATTTTCAACCTGTTGATAAAAACAGAGGAGACAGTGAAATTTTCAACCTGTTGATAAAAACAGAGAAGGAGACGGTGAAATTTTCAACCTGTTGATAAAAACAGAGGAGACGGTGAAATTTTCAACCTGTTGATAAAAACAGAGGAGACGGTGAAATTTTCAACCTGTTGATAAAAACAGAGGAGACGGTGAAATTTTCAACCTGTTGATAAAAACAGAGAAGGAGACGGTGAAATTTTCAACCTGTTGATAAAAACAGAGGAGACGGTGAAATTTTCAACCTGTTGATAAAAACAGAGGAGACAGTGAAATTTTCAACCTGTTGATAAAAACAGAGACAGTGAAATTTTCAACCTGTTGATAAAAACAGAGACAGTGAAATTTTCAACCTGTTGATAAAAACAGAGACAGTGAAATTTTCAACCTGTTGATAAAAACAGAGACAGTGAAATTTTCAACCTGTTGATAAAAACAGAGACAGTGAAATTTTCAACCTGTTGATAAAAACAGAGACGGTGAAATTTTCAACCTGTTGATAAAAACAGTGGAGACGGTGAAATTTTCAACCTGTTGATAAAAACAGAGAAGGAGACTGAAATTTTCAACCTGTTGATAAAAACAGAGACAGTGAAATTTTCAACCTGTTGATAAAAACAGAGGAGAAGGTGAAATTTTCAACCTGTTGATAAAAACAGAGGAGACGGTGAAATAGGGGTCGGCGTGGTCAAGTCGGTAAAGCTCATGGTTGCTAAACCGAAAAGTCTCGAGTTCGAACCCTCAGGCAGATGAGGCTCATTAGCTGGGGACAGCCACTCTTCTAGAAGAGATAACTCCAAAATTAAACAACTGCTGCCTTGTAGTTTGTTCTTGGTTGGACAAAGGCTATGGAAGCAAATCCAAAAAGAAAAGCAGGCTGAAATCGGAGTCAATGGCCTCAATGGCGCAAAACCAGTTGACACGTAACGCTTAATTGTGTTGGAGGCGTGGTCGAGTCGGCAAAAAGTTCATGGTTGATACATTTGAACAGTCTCGAGTTCAAACCCACTGGCAGATAAATCTCGATCCCCTTCAACACTAATAATTAAGAACGAAGAAGAAGAAGGTGAAATTTTCAACCCGTTGATAAATCCAACTATTAATTTAATCAACTACTTGCAACTTATTAAAACAGAAATGTGCCTAGCTGAAGTTTTTGAGAACTTAAAAAACAAAAAAGTTTTTACCTTGACCCCATAATGTAGACAAACAAGTCGACACCACTGAAAAATGAGCTGCAATCTTTCATTGTCCATCAGGAACTTTGTATCTCCGGAGTCTCGTCTTGCTGTAAGCAGAAGGTTTTTTAAAAGTTATAATTGGTTTAAGATTAATGAAACAAGAATGACACTATTTGGACTAGAATAAAAAACAAGGGACGTTTTAATGAAACAAAACAATGTGAAATGTTTGACCTTGACATTCTTCTGAAGATAAAACTCCAACTTTTTGCATTGCCAGCTTTAGCTGCAGAGACTTGAGGAGCAGGTCAATCTCTTCCTTCAGCTGCTCCAAGTTTACCTGGATGGAGCTCTGGAATACATACAAACATTAGGACTCAATGACAGAAGAGTGGTTCAAGTATATCTAGCAGCAATGTTGTTCAAATATTCAATGATAAAATATTAAAAAAAAAAAACCCCAGCTGTGTGAAAACTGAGTGTTACCTGGAAGTGGATAATGAGGTGCCACAACAACATGAGCGTTTTCTCTCGGTGTCCATCCACCACGTCCCTAGGGGTGATTGGGTTACCTGGGATAGCAAGAGGTGACCAATATAGGAGCTAAAGACAGGTTACTGACCAGAGTGGACATGGTCACACAGTGGCTACAAGTTCACTTAGAGGCAGAAATTATAGGAAGTATTAGTGACACCTTCTGACTTATATAAAAAAAATTTATCTTCTGACCAAGCAGGCTGTTGTTGCTAAGATACCACACCTATAAAAGTTTTATCAAACATGGCAAAAGTAAACTATGCTCATACTAGCTAAAATGTATCAGTTAAAAAAAAGTACAACGCCTATCTTCCCTACGGCCACATACAATATAAATAATTATCTATTGACAAACTAAAAATCTGACGAGGTGAATGTCCAGCACATACTTTGAATGGTGGAAAAGTCCAAACTCCTCTCACACATGGCCTTAAAGAAAGCCTCCATGTTGTGAATCTTCTGCAAGCGACTGATAGCTGGGGCTCGCAGCTTTCCCATAATGCTCTGATTGCCAGCCAAAAGCTCCAAGACACGACTACAGATGGAAGGAAAACAAAAAACTCATCAGGTTGATAAACTGTCACTGGATTTAAGGCAAGCTTTAAAAAATTAGACCAACACTGAGTAAGATATTAGGTCAAGATTGAGTTAGCAACCAAAGAAGGTACCTGAGTCGCAGACCATCCCTAAGATCAGCACTCAATGTCTTCACAGCAAAATCAAACTCATCGATTGGCTTCTGGGTCTGGTTGACCATGTAGCCAAGATAGGCCAGATGGCGAGTCAAGTCTCCCTCACCACTCAACACCTCGCGGGAAAACTGGATCAAAATTTCTTTGCTCGACTGAAAAATTTATTTTTTATAAAAAAATTTTGGTTAAATTCTTGTTTATTTTACAGCAAAGGGACAAATACAATCTCAACTTGACTAGGTAATTTCATTATGTTCAAGTTAAAATGATTGGTAGCCTAATGAATGGAAAAGATGAATGTTTTCTTTACCTTAATTTCTGCATCTTTGCAGAAAAGGCAAGGGTCATGGTCAATCAGACGAGAAGATTTGGCCTGGTCAAGGAAGTAGACCAGCAGTAGGAACTTCTTGATGGTGTGTCTGGACACAGCTGCAGCATAGCCTGGGGGTCAATACAGGGGGTCAATACAGGGGTCAAAACTGGGGGTCAATACAGGGGTCAAAACTGGGGGTCAATACAGGGGTCAAAACTGGGGGTCAATACAGGGGTCAAAACTGGGTGTCAATACAGGGGTCAAAACTGGGGGTCAATACAGGGGTCAAAACTGGGTGTCAATACAGGGGTCAAAACTGGGGGTCAATACAGGGGTCAAAACTGGGTGTCAATACAGGGGTCAAAACTGGGGGTCAATACAGTGGTCAAAACTGGGGGTCAAGAATACAGTGGTCAAAACTGGTTGTCAAGAATACAGTGGTCAAAACTGGGTGTCAAGAATACAGTGCTCAAAACTAGATTCAAAACTTTTTCAACAATATTTTTGTTACTGTCTTTAATTATATTAAATGCATGCACTTGAAGAGTAAGAAAGAACAAAAATGGTGTGATAAAGTATTCAACTATACCCATATAATCTTATTTTATTACAGAATTCTGTTACAATTATCAACTGCAGACAAAATGTGTGTTTATTTAATTATATTTTTTACCTTCCTTGTACAAATGGGGAACAGTTGGGTGTGCAAACTCTGCTGCTATATCTGGTGATGCTAAAAGTCTGGTGACAATAAATCTGGACAGACCTACAATATCTGTGTTAGACTGTAGCATTACCACCTCACCAAAGACTGTCTAAGAAAATAGGAAAATTCTTTTTAAACAAATGTAGGTGAAACATTTAATAAGATAAAATCTTTGAAAAAGCTGTTAAAGCATATAATTAAATACTTTTCATATACTGATAAAAAAAAAAGAGTATCATTACCTCTAATCCAATCCTCAGCCACAAAGAGCTATAATGTAGCAGCAAATCTAGAAGCCGTTGTTTTATACCTACAAAATAATATATAGATCACTACATTAATTTTACTAATTTTTCAATAGAAAAATTAATTACTTCATTATTCTTTTATAAAAAAATTGTATAGCCCAGTATCGTCAAAATGAGTTTACCAAGGTCAGCATGGATCATCTTGTCCTTGCGAGCAGCCAGCCTTCTGCTTTCCACCTCCACCTCAATCTTACAGATAATGTTCACCATGGCGTCTGACTGGTAGAGCTCACAAGCTGAGCGGCGCAGACGGTTGAGCCTTCTGCGAGCAGCGTACGACCTAAATGACAATATTTCTTTAGTGGGAGCCAGTCTTGCAGCTACTTGCCGATTCTCCAGAGATAACGAGCCAGCATCCACTGAAATAAAAAGATTACTAGAAAGTTTAGGCTAAATGACCAGGTAATGATTTGGCTTAACCTTAATTTTTGTTTAGTTTTTAGTTGATGAATTCACAAGAAATAAATTAAAAAATTATTGTTTAACTCTATATACTGGGTATTTCTACATCATTCCCTTCAGGTAAACCGACAGCAGTTTATGCTTAAGATTACGCCGCATACATTGGTACAACTTGACTCACCTTTTTGCTTACATGTAACAGCCACATACTCATCCGGAGGAGTCAAGACAAAGTTGAGCCACTGGATGAAGCCCCTCTCCTGTTTCTCTATCCACCTCTCATCATAATACATGTTGCGTGCAGCAAAAGGCATCGGATGGCGTGGAGCTCCTGCAGGACAAAATTTACAATCTGATAACTTGTTTATTTACAATCTGATAACTTGTTTATTTACAATCTGATAACTTGTTTATTTACAATCTGATAACTTGTTTATTTACAATCTGATAACTTGTTTATTTACAATCTGATAACTTGTTTATTTACAATCTGATAACTTGTTTATTTACAATCTGATAACTTGTTTATTTACAATCTGATAACTTGTTTATTTACAATCTGATAACTTGTTTATTTACAATCTGATAACTTGTTTATTTACAATCTGATAACTTGTTTATTTACAATCTGATAACTTTCTTGTTTAAGGAAGCCATGCTCAGTCAGTTTATACAACTGCTCCTTTATGCTCAAGTAACTAATATGTAAGCACAGAAAGGAATGTCTATTGAAGCCAGTTTTTTTAAATTAAAGGGTTTTTTTTAAAGTAGAATATTATTGTCTAAGATGTTATAGTATGCTAACAATGGTAAAAAAAAACATGATCAACAATTCCATGTAATCAACAAACCTGTTTTAGGTTTTTTAACCAGTATAAGTCTGCTTTGTGCCACCCCTTTGGCTGGGGCCTTTGTTTTCATCAGGTTTTTGTTGACAATGGAGGCTGCAAAAAGAGAAATTTTTTCATAATGGAGGAAATTATTTTACCCAATTCTAAACTGATTCTTAAAAAAAAATTTCAATCAATTCTAACCTGGTTTTAAAAAAAAATATTTCAGTCAATTCTAACCTGGTTTTAAAAACAAAAATATTTCAGTCAATTCTAACCTGGTTTTTAAAAAAAATATTTCAATCAATTCTAACCTGGTTTTACTGGTTCTTTCTTCACCAAGGATTCTGTGACTGTCTTTTTAGGGGACTTTTTCTTCTCAGTCTGTGACAACAAGTTTGTCATACTTTGGCTTCTCATTTTTAAATTTGGGCCAGGGCGCTCTAAAGATTTTTGACGGCCCACTGCAGCAGTTCTAGAATCTATCTTGTTAGCACCCACAGTTGGCTTTTTAAATTTAGAAGGGCTGAATGGCTGTCTGGCGCTAATTTTATCACCTGCCATGTTTTCTCCAAACTTGACCCTTGAGCTTTTTTGTAAATCAGAGACTTGGGCAGCAGCAGGCAAGATGGTGTCTGCTGAAACAGATCTGCGCAGTTTTTTCCTGTCTGTCAAGTTAACCAGCTCCTGTGTGCTTCTGTCTGTCAAGTTAACCAAATCTACCGTGGTTCTGTCTGACAAGTTAACCAAATCTCCCATGGTTCTGCCTGTCAAGTTAACCAAATCTCCCGTGGTTCTGTCTGACAAGTTAACCAAATCTCCTGTGGTAATCAGCTCCTGTTTGGTTCTGTTAGTAACAAAATCTCCTGTGGTTATTTCTTCTGGTTGAGGTTTTTGGAATTCAAGCATTTCTGTTTCCATGACAACAAAGCATTCCAAGCGGTCAATGCAGTTTTCAGCTTTAATATTATCTTCATTGTGTGAACATTGTTCATCATTTTGGCATCGGACAGGACTCAAGTTTGTTGAAGAGATCTCATTCAAACTATGGGGAGATACCTCACAGTGAACAGACATAGTTTTATCTTCACCAGTAGCACTTCCTGTTGCAGATTGTAATTTCAATTCACTAGTACAAGAAGTTATTTCTGATGTGGATTTTAAATTTGCTTCATTTATGATTTCAGCCTCATCACTGATGAGTTTGGCATCTTTTCTGTCATTTAAATTTTCAAAGTAAGTCTCACTGAGTGTGTCATAATAGACGTCATCTCCACTGTCAGCGTCTGACCTGTGGTCATCTCCAGCCTCAGACCTGTGGTCATCTCCAGTCTTAGACCGCTGGTCAGCTGGCCACACTAGCTGTTGGGAGACGTTGCAGTGGTCAAGCACAGAGTTTTCATCATGACTGCACTCTGGGGAATTAGCTGTTGAGTAATACTCAGACACTGTCATAACAGAGGACTGGCTCATGCTATTTTTTAGTTCAGCGTTTTTACTGTCACTGACAATTCTGCTTTCTACTTTGTCTGTCACAGCGTCACACGTGGTGCTCTTGTTCAGGGAGTCGGAGGACTGAGTTGTTTCTAAAGAGTCTCTGGTGACATCAGCACTGCCTTCCTCTGATGCTACATCATATTCCACAAGCCTAGGGGACATAACACAGACAGATGTGATTGGAGCCTGATCTCCCTTGAAACTTACAAATTTTACCTCTGCTGGTGAAAGTAAGATGGTTGGTTCCTTGTCAAAAGTGTCAGACTTGATGGATGAACTATCAGCTGGTTTGGATTCTTCTGTCAGCGAGGGATCTTTTTCCTCAGGAATCTCATTGTTGGATTGACTTTCTTCACTAACAAACAAGCGTCTTTTGTCAACCTCGTTTTTATTTAAAACTTTTGGACTGCGAACGACGTGTGTAGATCTTCTGGACTGGTAGGGGTCAGGGCTGCTGGGAAGTCTGCCTGGAGTCTGGAAATGTTTGGGGCTGACACCCAGCTGTTCCATGTAGGTTTCTGTGGTGGACTTGACCACGTCTGTGATCTCCTTGACCACCACGTACATCTTCCCATCCACCTCCTCGTAGTGCTCCTCAACACGGACCCTGATGTCCTCCTTGGTAACTGTGCCATCCTCGTCCATGCTGTAGCCAGCTGCTTTCAGTGGTGACGCTGAGAACAGCTTTTTCCTGTTGCTCATGGCAGTGAGGAGAGCGTCTGACGGCCTTGATTTGGTCACCGTCAGAGTTCCCCGTCTGGACAGCTCAAACCCCTGGCCAGGGCTGGTGGGCAGGGTGCTGGGAGACACCGGCAGAAATTTCTGTGGGGACATGGATTTCTCTGCCGCCATCACAACCCTCTGCAGACAAGTGGATCTAGGGGGATGAGCTGTCAGGAGGTTCTCAGGATCAACCTGTGGCTTGACATCAGCTTGGGCCACACAATCCACATCCACCTCTGTATCCACAGTCTGACCATCACATAGATCTGGAACCTGGATGTCTGGGAATAGCTTCCCTTGTCTTGTCACAGACACATTTCTCAGGGAACTGTTCCCCTCACCTGCCAGCAAGTCATCAAAGTATCTCAAGCTTTCATTGTCTTTCACTGGTGTGCTTAGACCAAGAGTTTCAACACCGGTGTCTTCCCCTTCAGTTGTGTTGTCTCCCTTATAGACCTCCACGCCATCGGTTCCCTGCACATTCACCCCAGTAGGAACATCATCACTTCTAGGGTCAACAATGGGAAACGGGCAACTTTCTAGGGAGAAGATGTTTTCTTTCCCAACTTTACTTTTGACTCGCTTCATGGCCAATTCTTGAGTAGATCTTTTAGGAGATTTTTTGAATGGTGAACATCTTTTTGGCGACTTCTTTTGTAATCTCTTGGACAAGCTTCTTTTCAGAGATGGAGATTTTCTGGGGGATTTTTTAGCCAGTGCCAACTTCCTAGCCTCCATCTCAGCTTTCTTCAGTATGAAAGTGCCTCTTCTTGGACTTGGCATTTCTGTGGAAAGTGGCCTGGAACCTGCGGAACTTTTTTTGTGAATCTCTTTCATGGTGGTAGTCCTGGTTAAAACCTGCGCATCCTTGGTGACAGCAGAAGCTGCGATGGCGATTTTCTTTAATTGTTGTTTGTTAAATTGTGAGGTGATTGACCTGCGCATGGGAGCCGCCTTCATGGCAGGTTTAGAGATGTCCTTGACACACCTGGTTGACTCGGACTGGTGCAGCGCCATCACTGGCGAGTTGAGTGAGGATTTGATATTTTTTAGATGGTTGACCATCACACTGTGGGGGATGGAGTTGTTTAAAACAGACAGGGGGCTGGGGATCAGCGGGGTGCTGGTGTTCCTGGAACTCTCACAGCGCATGCTCTTCATGTCTTCCATAAAAGAGTTAGGGCTGACGGCGCCCTGGCCTAGAGATATCAAGCTACAGTTCATACTCTGGTTGGCGTCCTGAGGAGAGCCTAGAGAGGACCTTGGGAACTTCATCTGTGATATCATGGACAAGGACTGGTTCAGCATGGTTCTGGGCGAGGCCGGACTGGAGTTACCGACCCCTAAACTATTGCCAGGTGACATCTTCACACCAGTGTGTCTATTTTTCTGCTCATCGCAAGAAATTTTTGCTTGCACACACTGAGTCTCGTCAGTTCTACAGACCTGGGGAGGGATGGGCACATCTCTGGTGATAAACAGGTTAGATCCTGTCATGTGACTAGTTCTATCCTCAGCGCAGTCCAGTTTCTTCCTCTTGATCTGGGTGAAACTTTCAGGCTCAGATGGCAACATGGGTACGACAAATGTCTTTTTAAGATCCCCTGACAGTTTTTTTGTTTGACGGGGCATGTCCGTCTCCTCATTTGGCCGGGCCTTGATTGACACATCCACGCCAGTCTCGTTGGGTTGATAATAAGAATCAACAATAATTCCATTGTCGTTGCCCTCAGTCCGAGGTATGGGGCTCATAGTGTTGAGTGTAGGGGAGGTAATACCTGTGATGTTCCTCCACTGCCTTCTATTCTTCTGATTTGCTTGCCCTTTATCCTGTAAGCTTGTGATTGTGGTTGACTCAAGAGGTGTGGGTGACTTCAAAATTTCCTCCTCAGCGCTAACCTTATTTTTGGCAACAAATTCTTCAAGACATTTGCCCTCAATGCAGGACTGTGTTGACAGCGTGATCACAGATCCCTGCTCTAAAAATTTGTTCTCAGATTCAATGGTTAACACACCACGACTATTCTTTTTCTTCATAGATTCACTGGCTAACACGCCAAGACTATTCTCCTTCTTCATAGATTCACTGACTAACACACCACGACTATTCTCCCTCTTCATAGATTCACTTGTTAACACACCTTGACTATTCTCCTTGTTCATAGATTCACTTGTTAACACACCACGACTATTCTCCTTGTTCATAGATTCACTGGCTAACACACCATGGCTATTCTCCCTCTTCATAGATTCACTGGCTAACACACCACGACTATTCTCCTTCTTCATTGATTCACTTGTTAACACACCTTGGCTATTCTCCTTGTTCTCAGATTTAGAAATCCGTGACAGGTCTTCCAACATATCCAACACCTCCTGACTGCGCCTGGGACTGTAACTTGATTGAATGCTAGTGAGTGCAGACGTCTGAACAACTGTTGGTGGTTCCTTGATACGAGGAGCCAACTGGTGTCTTCTCTACAATTGATTTAAAAGGTCATTATTACAGCAATAAAAAATACTAACAAACAGAAGAGTTAAAAGACAATAGCTTTAAAGTAATCAGAATGAAATAGAAGAACAGCTGTAATAAATTAAATCGATAATTCCTTTATAAACATCCACACAAAAATTTAGTAATAAATTCTGCTACTGAAAACTAAATTCTGTTAAAAAAACTTAAGAGGAAGTGGAGCATTCTTTCATCAGGGGTGACAGGTTATGTTCTGAACCAGAGTATTCAGGAAACAGTAACAATGTTAGAAATGTATGTTAGAAACTTATGTTAGAAACTCACCATCTTTCTTTGAGGCTTGGGTTTCTCTGCAGTACCAAACATGAAAGCCTGGAGCCTGTAGCACTCATTGATGTGAAATTGAATCATCTCTCTGAAGCCTCCATCTTCATCAGGAGTCCATGTAATTTCAAGGCTAAATATTTCCTCTGGTGCCACAGTAAATCTTTAAAATACAAAATACTAGTTGTTTGAAATAGTCAACATTATTAAGTAACTTAAACTACACAACTAAGATCTAAGTATTCAGCTACTTGAGTTATTTACATTAATTTGTTTATTTATTACAATAGAGATTAACTTTTTAAGACCAATATTGATTTGTTTACACTTGCCTAGTCTGATTAACCATGAACTTCTTTTTGAAAGGAAATCTTTCCACAATGACTTCTTGTTCATAGTCATGAGGGTTCCTGAGAAGTAGGGTTCTCAGCTTAGTCTTCCCCACTAAAATCTTTCCAAAGCTGATCCTTGGAGGGTTGGTGAAATGGGTCAAAATAAGAGTTTCAATGGAATCATTACTCCGTCTTTTAGCTTTTAAATCTGTCCTTTCTAAAGTGGGTGGATCTAAAGTTGTGAGAGGAGGAGCATCAAACCATGACCTTCTTGAGCGGCGAGATGGTGTGCCTGGAGGTTCTGCTGCTTGGTAAGCCATTACTTATTTATTACTTACAGCATGCCACCTTTTAAAATTCAGAACTTTTAACACAGAATCTGTAATTACCTGAAAAATATATTATGGGCCAATATTAATTTATTTAGATCTAGCTAGATCTAGCTTAATGTTAACTTTAAAATAATTTGATATCCAAGTCTAAGAATCTATTATAGTCTATCTAGATCATAGGTAATCTATCGTTTTAGCGTAATCAATTCGGCTGCAGTAGTAATGTGCGGGAGAGGTAACTGATGAATATATTTGTTTAAATAAGTATATTTAAGTCAAATTTTACAAAATATAACAGATAATTGATTAAAAATAACAATCAGTGACCAAAACAATTTAAAATATCATGAAACTAACTTTAAACTAGGTCTTTGAGATAAATATTAGTAGATAAAAACAGCGGCCATCTTTCCAAATAAAATTTAGAGTAGTTTCCCTTGATACAAATGTCTATTCGTATGTGTATTGTGTTGACTTTGTTGTTGAATATACATAGTTGTCTTGTTTAATATAAGTAGGGCAGAGGGCCATATTCTTATCTTTAATTTCAATTGAAATGAAGGCTATGTATGTATGTACATCCAAGATCTCAAAACCTTTTGGGAGGTCCATCATTTATTAAACCCTTTTGTACTGATGAACTTGTCAATTATTAGGTCGTCCATATTCTTCATAAATGACGTTGGACTCAAAATATGGGACGGGGTAAAATATTTTTTTTTTTAAAAATGATGAAGAATATATTCGTTTTCGTTAGAAATTGTGATTACGCGTTCGGGTATAGTAGAACTGCGATATGATATTAAATCATCATTTTGCTTTTAGTGACGATTGGGGGAAAGGGAATTCATCGGGAAAAGTATGACGTCATTTATGGACAGGACCGGCGCTACCTATAATGCGAACTAGGCTGTCGCCTAGGGTGCTGTCCGTAGGCGGGGACGGGGGGGGGGGGGGGGGGGGGGGGCGCCAAAATGGGTTGGAAAAACAAATTGAAAGTTTGAGGGGGGGTACAAATCGTAAGCTTGTCCCCGGGAGCCGGGAAGGGTCGCTACGCCTCTGATAATACGGGGGCATGAAAAAAATTGCAGAGGGGGGGGGGGGGGGCGCTTTTATTAACTAAATAACCTGGCGCCGGCACTGTTTATGGGTGATCCATTTAAGCCTAGTTGTTTATTTTGTCTGTGGACATTAGTCTTTGGCCTACACTTTTTCTGAATTAAGATTATTGTGTTTATAAAAATAGTTTTAAATTTTAATTAGTTACATCTGAATACCACATGGGTTTTTTTCTTTGCCTTCTGCTTTCATCAGTTTTTTTATTTGTTCAATAGTCGATGTTTACCCATCCCCACCATCCTTTATTACAAAAACAAAAAACACCCACTATGTAGTGATATCTCCCCCTAGAAAAAAAAACTAGATCAACCTATAGTTCGTAGGAAAATTAGAATCTATCACTTATTCGTCTGTTTAAAAAAAGAAATTCGTCATTTTTCTCGACCCCGCCGTTTCATCCCCCACTAAGCACAACGTCACCAAGTTCTCGGCGCGCGTGACGTCATTTGTCATTAGGCTAATGTTAAAGAAAGAGATACCGCGTAATTAAAAAAGTCAAAACAGGCAGTATTGCGTTGAGACTTTAGCGACGTTTAGTCTGACGAATAGATCTAAATGACTTTAGTACGGTAAATTATATTGGTGTTTAATTTATTACAGAGGCACGATGTTCTCCCTCTACTATACGAATTCACGTGCTTTTAATTTCTGCAACCTGCTGCCCTGAGACGATCGGCTGTAAAATGCCTGTGACACAGCGGCTTCCGTAAATACATTTAGACTCCCGGTCCCACATATAAACTTCGTCTGTCCATTAAGCTCCACGCAAAACTTGTGATTGATATGTGGACATAAGCAGCGCTAGTGGTGGTGTCAACAGGGACCCCCTCCCCCTCCCCAAGCTCAGCTCTTAAAGGTGCTCCGCACTTCATAAAAGACAAACTTGATGTTCAGACATCGTCGGACTCGGGCGTTTAGCCGACTGCCGTATTCCTAATGCACCATCCACTGCTAACACTATTTCTATATTAAACTCAAGCCTATACTGAGCTCTGGCTTTTTACATTAGCTGTTGTCGTATTAAGGGTTGATCTTTTGTTATGCCCCATGTCGCGAAACTTCTGTTTTGTCCAATTTTACCTGCAAGCCAATAATTGACTTGGATTCTTGTCGAATATCGTTGCCAGGAGCTAGTTGGTTTGAGTCTTATTGTCAGAAGTTATTTCATTTGGAGTCAATGTAGTGCGGCCTATTTTCGCCGGTAGGCATTTAGTGGCAGGCCCTTTTTGGCGGGGATGATGTGCTGAGGTTGTTTACACCTCTAAAGACAACAGGCTTGCAATAGTTATGATCATTCGTTATGAGCAAAGGTATGCATGAAAACGAACGCTTTATGTTCCTCATTTTCATTGAGCACAGCTTTATAGAAGTCTTCTGTAATTGACGTCACTCATCCCCCCCCCCCCCCGATCACCCCTTCATTATAGGTCATAAATTGCAGTCCTGCGTAAATTGACGTCACATTAGAATAGCATATGTGACATCGTTTATGGACAACCCCATATAACTCATTTTGGGTATTTGGTATCAACATTTTGACAACAAAGGTTGTTCAAAATGTGTATTGGAGGTTAGGACGACTTCTACCATAAATGACATCACGCACTTAAGGGGTGGAGTAACTGATTTTGAGACGACGTTTTACGCGGGAAAGGGGAGGGGTAAGAAACGTGAAACATTATGTATTTCGCCTAATACAAAAAGGCCGAAAAAATTCTTTTTCGTTTGAATTATGGCTTAACTTAACAGGCAGGGCAAAAAGGTAATGTTCGACATTATGACTATTTCGTGACGGCGAAAATGGGGGGAGGGGTGGGGGGTTTAAGGTGAAGAGAGGTAAAAAAAACGTGAAGTCATTTATGATTAAATCACTAATTAAAGGAAAAAAGCATGAAAATAGCAAACAAACAATAACACAAGCAATAACAATTAACTCAAACTAATATTTAAATAAACATTAGATATGTAGTGGTAGCTCTATAAAAATAGGGAGTTTTTTAATGTATAAAATTGCATCTCATAATAATAATTCTAGAACTGATGTTTATTGTCAGTCAATTAAATTGTTTAAAGGTCAGAAAAAAAAACAACGCATGCTTTGTATTTAAACACAAGACAAACGTATTTAATAGCAAACATCAATACATTTCTATACAAATAGAAATGAAAGGGAAATGACTCAAAATAATATTTTCTTAAGATGGCCGCTGTTTTTAATAGCAATTTTAGTATCTGGAACATCGTTGTTAAACCTTAATTTCAAGACATTTTTATTGATTTAACCTTTAAATGTGGTTTAATATTCAATTATCTTTAGTATTTTAGTAGAATATACTAAAATATATTCATATTTAAGCCATATATTTATTAGTTACCTTATCCCTACATTACTAGTGGCGACCGAATTGATTACGCTAAAACGATAGATTACCGATCAGGTAAAACTCCATTTTAGCGTATTTTATTCTCCGCTGTTTGTTTACCTCCATTTGAGCGTATTTTATAATAATTATAATAACCGAAACACACCAAAACATTAGGAAAACACGATTTATTTATTTGTATTGTATTTTTGTTTTAACAAATGAATAAAAAAACAAAGAGAATGACTTTGTTTTAGATTTTGATAATTTACAAAATTTGAGAAAAATCCAAATTTAGAATATTGAATGTGCTATGTTTGTCAGTTAGAATTTTCATGGCAATGGGTGAAGTACGTAAACGAAACGTAACTCACGTCAATTGCAAGACGGTTTAAGTTTGTATTGTTACAAGTATCTCCCAGGCATGATACTATAAATAAACATTTACGAACTTACAATGACCCCAAAACTGAGGCCAACATAATTTCAAACAGCTATTGTCCGAGCTATGACGTATGCTGATAATTATTAATAATTAAAGTCAATGTGAACTCACGGTGAACCCGCGATCGTGTAAGGATTTTTCTCCCGCTGACAGTCACACGATATTTAATTGGAACAGTTCTAATGCTTTTTTATGTTGTTTTTTTTTTACCTTTTCTAATTAAAAATAACATTCATAAAAAAATAAGTAGATATACTCTAGTGTTTCCCTAACGTTTTAGTGTGTTACGGTTGTGTTTATAATAAAATACGCTCAACTGGAGGTGAACGTGAAGCGGGGGAATAAAATACGTTAAAATGGAGTTTTACCTACCGATCATATATAGATCTATGATATAGATCTAGATCTAGACCTACAAATATTATTAGTGTTGTGCCGATACCGATTGGATAGATCTAGCTAGATCTATCTAGAATCTAGATCTAGAATTCTAGGCGTCGGCGTGACGGTGTGTTTAGGAGTTTAGATTTTTATATCTGATCTAGATTCTAGTCTAAATCGATACCTTAAACATTCACACAAACAGTTTATATTTAGATAATTAGACTTCACAACTAGATCTAGAATCTAAATATTATCCTAAAACTTACATATTTGATTATTTGAATTAATAAATGTCGGCAAGGTTTGTAAACTTTCAACTTTGTTTATGTTGGTTTCAAAATTTGAACTCGGAACGAAATCAACCAATAGAAAGTAACCATCTGATAATAACAGAATCAAAGTCGCAAATTTTCTGTTGTCGTAAAAGTTTTCTCTCGACCAAACGTAAACTTCAGTCAATGTCTTGTTTCGGTTTCAAATAACAACAAAAAAGTGTTAGGCTCTACTAACATGACGTGTTACTTTTAAATTCTTAGAATACAAGCTTTGCCTAAAATAACACAATAGTACACGCACATAGACATAGATCTAGATCTACATTCTACACGCCTATGGGCAATGAATTAATATTTTGGTTAGAATTCATTTCTTAGTTCTTTAGTTATTTAGTTAATAATTAAATAATAAATATAGGGTAAAATCACGATATAGCGTCGGTTATTATTCCGGAACTGTACAGCAGTAAAAAACAATAAAACCATGGCGTTCGGTGTCGAGCCGTTCCGGAAACCACCGGAAATACTGTAAACCATCATTTATTTGCCGCCATATTATTTTTAATACATTATGTTTAAAAATGTGCAAGGATTGATTTTAGTTGCATTTTAAATACTGTTTTGCTAATTATTTTGTATTTCTAATTATTTTAAGTGTATGTGCTAATTATTGCTGCTACTAAACATTATTCTAGTTCTTCTTACTACTTTTAACTTTAGTAAATCTAATCGTCTTATTTTACTAATAGAACTAGAGCTGGTTGTCGCAAATCTTCTGCAGGTTTTTTCTGTTTTTCTTAAAAAAACATTAATTACTACACTCGACTTTATTAATAATATTTAGATTTACTAATTGTTGCTAATTTTGTCAGTTAAACATTAAATTAAGTTAAAACATTAATTTAATGCACTTGACTTTATTTTTTTTCCAACGGTCAAATAAACTATGGTTTACAGTAACGAATGTTACCGAAACTCAACGAACATTACCCAATAATTTCCGACGCTATATCGTGATTTTACCAAATATAGTATTTGGCATCATATCATCATCATTTGTTTTGTTGTTGGAATGGACACGAGCGAGAAAACTCTCAAAGGTATTTGAGAGGTGTATAAATTAGTTTAAAAATCAGGCACGGCGTAGTTACAATTAATAATATAATATGGTTATAAAATCCTGTCTGTCTGGTTTATTTCGGACTTATGTCACTTTACTAAAGATTGGGTCTATTTGATGTTTTAAAAATTTTCGGTAACTAATTGAAAATTTAAAAACAAGCCAAAACAATTTGGTTTTCACGTGTAATGGCGACATAAACAATGGCATCCTGCTATTGGATAGGCCGACATTGATTTTATTGTACACATTGTAAGTTTAAGCTAAAAATAGAAAACTAGGTCATGGGGTTTTTAATTTGCATTGTTATTTAAAAACTTGATCTGCAAAGTTTTGTAAACAAATAGTTATCGATCACTAAGTTACTGTACAGCCAATCAATATTTGTCTTACGAAAGTGAAACATCCGGTTTTAACTTAGGCTTGATGAAAATAAATAGAAATGTAGCCTTAAACTCAACAAATTATTTTCAAGTTCTCTGGATTTGCAACTTTTATAGCATTTATTCTAAAAATATAAAATTTCTAAATTAATTTTAGGCTTAAGTTTTTATTTTTTATTTTTTTTTACGGTCTAAATCTAAAAAGCACGTTTTTATTCCATGTCAACAATATTATGGAAGGAATCTCGTCAACTCGCTCGCCTCCATTCATACCATGATTTTTTTTAAAGTTAATTTTAGTGTGAGTGTTAAAGTTTAGTTATAGTTATTAGTTAAGTTTAGTTTTAGTTTTACCATGGCAAAAAAAAAAAAAATGGCATAGTTTTAGTTTAGTTAGTTACTAACAGGTGGAGGGTGATGGAGAGATGGTGGATACTTGGTAATGGTATACTCAATACTGGTAATCTATCGTTTTGGGTACGTAAAATCGCCCGCGACTTGTAATGTGAAAAACAGGTGACTCCTTAAATTTTAATAATTATTTCACATTTTGAGGAGGATTTATGTTTTTTAAAATACAAAATTCATCAAAATTGTTTCTTTGTTTAATTTATGTACCTGTTTTTAAACAATTGAATTAAACTTTTTCCGTAATAAATGAAGACTAGCGATGTTTCCAACAGATGCAACCATGCTCATTTACTATAGCAGCCATCTTGTTTAAGTTTTATTTTTATAAGCTTATAGCGCGAGATTCAGGCGGAAGCCACTCTATTTTACAAATGGCTGCTGTTTATATAGCAAATCTTGCTCTCAGACACTGCTGTTTAAAGTTAATTTCTGGCCTATATCGATATATTTAGCCATTGATTTAGGTTTATTATTCATTTATCTATAATATTTGACACAAACATATGACAATATACTTCTATTAAAGCCTTGACAATGAGGTAACGTTTTCGTACATTAATAGCCACAGGCGATTTTACGTACCCAAAACGATAGATTACCGGTATACTTATACTATGAGTCATGAGTTTCTGACAGATACGGCTTCAGGAGTAAGCCTTGAGAAAAATTACGGAGTGGAGCCCCGTAGGCGATTGGATTACCAACACTGGCTTCTCTTCAGTAGCTTCTGAAACTGAACTGGTACCCAATGTTTTGACTAGTATTCATTAGGACCATACTGATACAGACTAGGTTGAGAGAGGGATCATGGTGTATGGGTATCTCTTCATCTGCCCAGAAAGCTCACAAGCGCTGCCTACAATTACAATGAATCCTGGAAATCTCATGAGAAGACCATGTATCAAACCAGGACATCTTGAAACAAGTCACTGAGCAGGGATTGCTAATAGGCAGAAGAATGCGTTGGCATGTTTGCATCTGCCGCATGCTTAACAGACAAATCCCACAGGTCATCAATTGTACCAGATCCAAGTGATGACCCTTGCTGTACTACAGAGATATTTGAAAACAGGAACTGATGTCCGCAGACATCACTGACCATCTTTACTCTATGGGCTCAAGTACACACACTGCCCCTGGAGAAGAAGAAAACAATCTGCCCACTTAGTACCAACAGTGACCTGCTAGAGCAATGGTAGAAATGATCAAACCCTGCAACCACAACACTGAACAGTGACCTGCTAGAGCTATGGTAGAAATGATCAAACCCTACAACCACAACACTGAACTGTGACCTGCTAGAGCTATGGTAGAAATGATCAAACCCTACAACCACAACACTGAACTGTGACCTGCTAGAGCTATGGTAGAAGTGATCAAACCCTGCAACCACAACACTGAACTGTGACCTGCTAGAGCTATGGTAGAAATGATCAAACCCTACAACCACAACACTGAACTGTGACCTGCTAGAGCTATGGTAGAAGTGATCAAACCCTGCAACCACAACACTGAACAGTGACCTGCTAGAGCTATGGTAGAAGTGATCAAACCCTACAACCACAACACTGAACAGTGACATGCTAGAGCTATGGTAGAAATGATCAAACCCTACAACCACAACACTGAACTGTGACCTGCTAGAGCTATGGTAGAAATGATCAAACCCTGCAACCACAACACTGAACTGTGACCTGCTAGAGCTATGGTAGAAATGATCAAACCCTGCAACCACAACACTGAACAGTGACCTGCTAGAGCTATGGTAGAAATGATCAAACCCTACAACCACAACACTGAACAGTGACCTGCTAGAGCTATGGTAGAAATGATCAAACCCTACAACCACAACACTGAACAGTGACCTGCTAGAGCTATGGTAGAAGTGATCAAACCCTACAACCACAACACTGAACAGTGACCTGCTAGAGCTATGGTAGAAATGATCAAACCCTACAACCACAACACTGAACAGTGACCTGCTAGAGCTATGGTAGAAATGATCAAACCCTACAACCACAACACTGAACAGTGACCTGCTAGAGCAATGGTAGAAGTGATCAAACCCTACAACCACAACACTGAACAGTGACATGCTAGAGCTATGGTAGAAGTGATCAAACCCTGCAACCACAACACTGAACAGTGACCTGCTAGAGCTATGGTAGAAATGATCAAACCCTACAACCACAACACTGAACAGTGACCTGCTAGAGCTATGGTAGAAATGATCAAACCCTACAACCACAACACTGAACAGTGACCTGCTAGAGCAATGGTAGAAATGATCAAACCCTACAACCACAACACTGAACAGTGACCTGCTAGAGCTATGGTAGAAATGATCAAACCCTACAACCACAACACTGAACAGTGACCTGCTAGAGCTATGGTAGAAGTGATCAAACCCTACAACCACAACACTGAACAGTGACCTGCTAGAGCTATGGTAGAAGTGATCAAACCCTACAACCACAACACTGAACTGTGACCTGCTAGAGCTATGGTAGAAGTGATCAAACCCTACAACCACAACACTGAACAGTGACCTGCTAGAGCAATGGTAGAAGTGATCAAACCCTGCAACCACAACACTGAACAGTGACATGCTAGAGCTATGGTAGAAATGATCAAACCCTACAACCACAACACTGAACAGTGACATGCTAGAGCTATGGTAGAAGTGATCAAACCCTACAACCACAACACTGAACAGTGACCTGCTAGAGCTATGGTAGAAGTGATCAAACCCTACAACCACAACACTGAACAGTGACCTGCTAGAGCTATGGTAGAAGTGATCAAACCCTACAACCACAACACTGAACAGTGACCTGCTAGAGCTATGGTAGAAGTGATCAAACCCTACAACCACAACACTGAACAGTGACCTGCTAGAGCTATGGTAGAAGTGATCAAACCCTACAACCACAACACTGAACAGTGACCTGCTAGAGCTATGGTAGAAGTGATCAAACCCTACAACCACAACACTGAACAGTGACCTGCTAGAGCTATGGTAGAAATGATCAAACCCTACAACCACAACACTGAACAGTGACCTGCTAGAGCTATGGTAGAAATGATCAAACCCTACAACCACAACACTGAACAGTGACCTGCTAGAGCTATGGTAGAAGTGATCAAACCCTACAACCACAACACTGAACAGTGACCTGCTAGAGCTATGGTAGAAGTGATCAAACCCTACAACCACAACACTGAACTGTGACATGCTAGAGCTATGGTAGAAGTGATCAAACCCTACAACCACAACACTGAACTGTGACCTGCTAGAGCTATGGTAGAAATGATCAAACCCTACAACCACAACACTGAACAGTGACCTGCTAGAGCTATGGTAGAAGTGATCAAACCCTACAACCACAACACTGAACAGTGACCTGCTAGAGCTATGGTAGAAATGATCAAACCCTACAACCACAACACTGAACAGTGACCTGCTAGAGCTATGGTAGAAGTGATCAAACCCTACAACCACAACACTGAACAGTGACCTGCTAGAGCTATGGTAGAAGTGATCAAACCCTACAACCACAACACTGAACAGTGACCTGCTAGAGCTATGGTAGAAATGATCAAACCCTACAACCACAACACTGAACAGTGACCTGCTAGAGCTATGGTAGAAATGATCAAACCCTACAACCACAACACTGAACAGTGACCTGCTAGAGCTATGGTAGAAGTGATCAAACCCTACAACCACAACACTGAACAGTGACCTGCTAGAGCTATGGTAGAAATGATCAAACCCTACAACCACAACACTGAACAGTGACCTGCTAGAGCTATGGTAGAAATGATCAAACCCTACAACCACAACACTGAACAGTGACCTGCTAGAGCTATGGTAGAAGTGATCAAACCCTACAACCACAACACTGAACTGTGACCTGCTAGAGCTATGGTAGAAGTGATCAAACCCTACAACCACAACACTGAACAGTGACCTGCTAGAGCTATGGTAGAAATGATCAAACCCTACAACCACAACACTGAACTGTGACCTGCTAGAGCTATGGTAGAAATGATCAAACCCTACAACCACAACACTGAACAGTGACCTGCTAGAGCTATGGTAGAAATGATCAAACCCTACAACCACAACACTGAACAGTGACATGCTAGAGCAATGGTAGAAGTGATCAAACCCTACAACCACAACACTGAACAGTGACCTGCTAGAGCTATGGTAGAAATGATCAAACCCTACAACCACAACACTGAACAGTGACCTGCTAGAGCTATGGTAGAAGTGATCAAACCCTACAACCACAACACTGAGCTGAGCAAATTTTACTGCTCTGGTCATGCATTCATTGATCAATAGAAGCCATATAAGATATCAAGGTTATTGTAGTATCATAGTTGATAGTAGTGTAGTAAAAGAAAAATATTTGCGGATTTATTAACCTACTCAATAGAACTGTTTAATATAATATTTTTCATGTGCTCTTTTTAAAGGATTGACTTTTTGTTTAAGTTAGACTTTGTAATATAGACCAGAACCTTCAAATTAATTGGATCAATGGAGCCAAGTCATCTTGAGAATGTTTATTATGGTTTGGTTAAATCTAGACTTGTTTTTAAGTCAAACACATAAATCTGTTTTATGTAGCTTCTGATCTCACACTGCCTTAATAAAACCATTCTTATGAACAAGTAATGTAATTAATACACACACAAAACATTATTAGTAATATTTTGAGTTATTATTATTACTAATCATTCTGAGTTGGTTTTAAATTAACAGAAACAGTAACTGCAAACTTTTAATACACTATATAAAAAAGCAATGATTACCTCCCCTTGTAAAATGTATATGTTAATAATTGTTAACCCCCCTTTACAAGGAATCTAAGAGATCTAATAATGTCAAATGTTTTTGACACTTGGATTTGACACAAAAGAAGATGAAAGTGGTTTATTGAGATACATTGGACCTCTAAACAAAACAGCAATGTTTATTGCTATGCCCAACTTTCCCTAATATTAAGTAGCAACCAGAGCTGGGCAGACTTAAAATTGAAACTAGATACTTTAGTTTTGTGACGGTCAACATATAAAGATTAAACTGTGATGTGTTAGGCCCTACATTTCATGGTGGTTGAGGGCTGCACTTTTTATGCTAAATATTAAAAAGTTTTACTAAAATCATTGTTTTTAATCTGCCACAGGAAGTGAGATAGAAGTCAAGCACAGGAAGTTGAGCCTACATTCCTAATGGAGCCCATGGATTTGGACAGTGATGGAGACACCAGCTACAGACACAGAGGTCTCCGCTGGTACCCAGAGCCCACATCTCCACCAGATTCCAAAAACAACTCTAATCTGTCTGACATGGATGTTGACATCAACTCACCAGGTTATGCCAATCAAACATCAAATACAGAGGCTGACTTTTTAAGCAGCGCTATGAGCTCTGCCATGTCCTTGATGCAGAACAATGATGTCACCGTCTTCCAGCCACAGGCTAACACTTCAAGTCGATCCAGTCGGTTTGGAAACTCCAGAAGTTATTCAACTCCTGCCATCTTCAAGACTGAAGCATCCACCACTGCTGCCTTAGCTTCCTCAGCCTACGACAAGGTTCGGAAACTTGGTTTTGGTATTCCTGATAGCGACAGTACATTTGATCATTTCCCTAAGGAGGACAGCTCTCATTCCTCCCTCAGGCAGCGTCCTGTCAGCACACCAAGCTCCACCAGTCTGAAAGACCTAACAAAAAAATCTAATCTTCAACAGTCAGCTCAAGAACATTTTGTTAAGCAAAACAAAGGCTCCTCTTGCTGTAAGTGTGTCTTACTTCTGCAAGTTGTTTTAATACTTGCTGTAGCACTGGTGATATGGAACTCAATGGATGTTCAACATGATTGTCAGCCCAATAGGTATTTTAAAAGAAAAGTTTTAAAGATGGATCTGGAATCAAACGTTTTTGGCCAGCCAATTGCCACGAAGTTAATCCCCGTAAAAATTGAGGAATATTTGAACAAACTAGACAAGTACAAAAACACGACCACGGAGGTCACATGCAAGCCACTGGTTCTTTCATTTCATGGCTGGACTGGTGTGGGCAAGAACTACATCAGTAAGATCACAGCAGACTCGGTACAGAGTGCTAACATTTTAAATTTGATCGTGCCCTACCATTTTCCCCATGGTGCTCTTGAAGCTGAGTACAGAGAACAAATCCACCAGTGGATCACTAGCAACAGCAGCAAATGTGCCATCAATGTTGTTGTCATTGATGAAATGGACAAGGCCTTTGAGGGGGTGGTTGAAGGCATATCCAGTGCCATCGGGGCGCTGACGCAGCCGTGCAACACAGCCAACGCCACCCTCATCTTCCTGCTGTCCAACTCACATGCTGTAGAAATCAACCAAGCCTTTGTCAAATTTAGCTTAGAAAAACCTGACAGGAACAGAGAGGATTTCAGCATGGAGTTAGCCAGTTCCCTTTTTACAACAAGCACCAAGCTGTGGTACACCCAGCTGTTGGAGGAGACTTTGATTGACGCCTTTGTTCCATTTCTGCCCCTGGAGAAGAGACACGTGGTACAGTGTATAATGAGAGACCTGGTGGCCAAGAAGTTTTCTACAGACTCAGGGAGCGTGGATAAAATTCTGGGAGAGCTGAGCTTCACTGAGGTGGAGAGGTTGGTGCTGTCTAACACTGGGTGTAAGAGGGTTGCGGACAAGGTGGACTTGGTGATGTTGGGAAGACATCATTGAGGTGATGATAGGCAGACATCATTGAGGACATGATGGTGGGAAGACATCATTGTTGTGAAGTTGGGCAGACATCATTCAGGTGATGTTGGGCAGACATCATTCAGGTGATGTTGGGCAGACATCATTGTGGTGATGTTGGACAGACATTATTGTGGTGATGTTGGACAGACATTATTGTGGTGATGTTGGGCAGACATCATTGATGTGATGTTGGGAAGACACTGAGGGGATGTTAGGCAGACATCATTGAGGGAGGGGATGTTGGACAGACATCCATCGTGGTGATGTTGGGCAGACATGATTGATGTGATGTTGGGCAGACATTGAGGGGATGTTAGGCAGACATCATTGAGGGAGGTGATGTTAGGCAGACATCATTGTGGTGATGTTGGACAGACATCATTGTGGTGATGTTGGACAGACATCATTGTGGTGATGTTGGGCAGACATCATTGAGGGAGGGATGTTGGGCAGACATCATTGAGGGAGGTGATGTTAGGCAGACATCATTGTGGTGATGTTAGGCAGACATCATTGTGGTGATGTTGGACAGACATCATTGTGGTGATGTTAGGCAGACATCATTGAGGGAGGTGATGTTAGGCAGACATCATTGTGGTGATGTTGGGCAGACATCATTGTGGTGATGTTAGGCAGACATCATTGTGGTGATGTTAGGCAGACATCATTGTGGTGATGTTGGGCAGACATCATTGTGGTGATGTTGGGCAGACATCATTGTGGTGATGTTGGGCAGACATCATTGTGGTGATGTTGGGCAGACATCATTGTGGTGATGTTAGGCAGACATCATTGAGGGAGGTGATGTTAGGCAGACATCATTGTGGGAGGGGATGTTGGGCAGACATCATTGAGGGAGGGGATGTTGGACAGACATCCATTGTGGTGATGTTGGGCAGACATCATTGATGTGATGTTGGGCAGACATTGAGGGGATGATAGGCAGACATCATTGAGGGAGGTGATGTTAGGCAGACATCATTGTGGTGATGTTGGACAGACATCATTGTGGTGATGTTGGGTAGACATCACTGAGGGAGGGGATGTTCAGCAGACAATAGAGAGTTGATGCTGATGAATGCAATTATATTATTATTTCAAATGTTAAACAGCATCATAATATTATATTAAATATTGAATGCCATCAAAATATGTTAAAATATGTTGAAAGCCATCGAATGTCCATACTAAAAAAACATTTTGTTTTAAATATATGGTTAACAAGTGATTTTTGAAAGTGTTCACAATTTATTAACTTGTGTGTTTGGTTATCTATTGATTAATTTTTGTTTTGTTTTATATTTAAGAGAAAATATACTTAGATGTTTTCTTTATTAACGGAGACACTAGTCATGTATGTACGTTTTTTTTTCTAATTGAAAAAGTTTAGGGGGAGGGGGAGACATGTTGGATGAATTAAGCATCGTTATTCTTTATAACCATAAAATTTTGACAGAAAATTTGCCGCATCACATCATGGTAGAAGTGGTTGGCCAGGTACAGTTAGATATTTGACCAGGTAATGGTCACATGATTGGCCAGATATTTGGTCACATGATTGGCCAGATATTTGGTCACATGATTGGCCAGATATTTGGTCACATGATTGGCCAGATATTTGGTCACATGATTGGCCAGATATTTGGTCACATGATTGGCCAGATATTTGGTCACATGATTGGCCAGATATTTGGTCACATGATTGGCCAGATATTTGGTCACATGATTGGCCAGATATTTGGTCACATGATTGGCCAGATTGTTGGTCACATTATTTGCCAAATAGGGCCTCCTAATTCATACCACTTTGCCTGCAATTACAGGAAAATGATGGGTCGTACTTTATTGTGTAAAATGTTGGTCAAATGATTCTGAATTGTATTAAAATGTGACTGAAAATTTGGGTAACACTAAATTGAAAATATACAACAATAGCATAGACTATCTAATAGATCCTTTTAAATTATAATAATATGTCATATGCTAAACTGTTTTTTCACAACAACGTTTACCCATCTATACTGGACCACTTCCGTCTCTACTGGCGCTTTCAGACCCCCCCCCCCTTCCTGGAGAAAAATATATTTTAAGTGTGTCCTTTCCCCCCCCCCCCCCCCCCCACTTCTTACGTTTCAAATCCCCCCCCCCCGCCCCCGCCCGGGAGAAAAAATGTCTGAAAGAAACCTCGGTTCTGTTCTTCCATTGCTCTTCTCATTCGATATTATTTTATGATCTGTCTACGTTTAGAGAAATTTACTAATGACCTTTTTTTTGTCATCTTTACACATATTCATAATGTCCTTTTGTGGTTCTTTTCACATGAATTAAAAACAATATCAAACCTTGGTTATTTAATATTTATTGAATTAAATTGTTTGATTATTTATTGATATCTTAGTGAAACAATAAAAGAACTCCCAATCATGGTGCTTGTTTTAAATCACATTTATAGTTTCAAGAAATAAAAAAAGTCCATAGGCGATTTATAGGCCGCCAATTGACATGTTTTTCTTAGGGCTCCAGCGGGCAAAACTTCACTCGCAGGTTTCAAAGGAAACCAAATGCTGGCAGTGACGTAGCAGATTATAGTAGTTTCCCTTATCAAGCCCTCAGAATTTATGTGTGTACGATCGGCGGATAGCCACACAGCTGTAGATGGATAGAGTTGGTCAGCCTCACAGTTTTAGGGCTGCTAGCCACACAGCTGAAGGGCCACTAGCCACACAGCTGTAGGGCCACTAGCCACACAGCTGTAGGACCACTAGCCACACAGCTGTAGGGCCACTAGCCACACAGCTGTAGGGCCACTAGCCACACAGCTGTAGGGCCACTAGCCACACAGCTGTAGGGCCACTAGCCACACAATTGTATAACTCACTAGCCACACAGCTGTAATGCCGGCCACTAGCCATACAGCTGTAAGGCCACTAGCCATACAGCTGTAGGACCACTAGCCACACAGCTGTAGGGCCACTAGCCACACAGCTGTAGGGCCACTAGCCACACAGCTGTAGGGCCACTAGCTACACAGCTGTAGGGCCACTAGCCATACAGCTGTAAGGCCACTAGCCATACAGCTGTAGGACCACTAGCCACACAGCTGTAAGGCCACTAGCCTTACAGCTGTAGGACCACTAGCCACACAGCTGTAGGGCCACACGGCTGTAGGCCCACACAGCTGTAGGGCCACTAGCCATACAGCTATAGGGCCACTAGCCACACAGCTGTAGGGCCACTAGCCACACAGCTGTAGGGCCACTAGCCACACAGCTGTAGGGCCACACGGCTGTAGGGCCAGCTGCTAGAGGGGCAGTAATTTAACGAGGGAGATGGTAGCGAAGGCAAGCTCTCGTCGTCTGCGGGTTGTAAAACGACGCGATAGCGGTTTATCGGCGACTGATCGAACTGTGATCGAACTGTTTGTGTACTAAAACAAGATTTAATGGTGGCTATCAACAAGTTACTGAAACAGGGTTATGTGGGGGGGGGGGATAGAGATTTAATGTGGGCTATTAATATGCTACTGAAACAAGGTCATGTGGAGGGGGGGGGGGTAAAGATTTAATTTGGGTTATCAACAAGCTACTAAAATAATTTTTTCGGAGTATGTGGGGGGGGGGGGGGGGAGTTATAATATATTGTTTAATCGACACTCATAAAATATTTTACAAGCTTTTATTTAATTTGATCTTTCGTGCTTAATGCTCCATCGTGGGTCGAAAATAGTGGACAAAATTTTATTATCTCTACCGAACCCATCTGTTTTAAGCTTGACGCATGAAAGACTGCCATTTTATAAATTAGGACTGCTAATCTTATCACGACCCATATCTTTTTACCGGCTGATTTGAAACCCACACATTAAAATGAAAATTAATCGTAATTCAATGTCCTACATACTAATATAAATTAATTGTAATTGGATGTCTACACACTAATATAAATTTTAAGTAATTATTTATTTATTGAAGAAAGATAATTACTTTGTTTTAAAGAAGAAAAAGTAGAGTTGAATTTTTCGGGCAAAAAAATACGCTTCTGTCGGGAAAATTAATGATAAGAATCTATATGTATAATTCTCTTTTTGGAGACGTTAGAAAACACCAAGCTGTAAGAGGCGCTCCCTCCCACCCCCACCCCTACATGGTCAGGTGAGCTGTGGTTTACGCTCAGTGTTTCTTCCAGACTTTTTTCTCCGGGGGGGGGGCACTTGAAATTTTCGGGGGGGGGGGGGCGGTAAACTTTCTTCGGGGGGGGGGGGGGGGCGGACAATGTTAAAAAGTATATATTTTCTATATAAATTATATAAATTTCATTTCGTTCGGGGGGCGAAGCCCCCCCCCCCCCCCCCCCCCCGAAGAGATGCCTGGAAGAAACTCTGTTTACGCTAAATGTTTACAATCGTAGAGCCGGGTTTAGTGACGGCTATTAGGGGCAGATAATTTAGTTTGAAACGATTTTAAACTTAGGGGAGGTAACTAAGAGGAGTTTACTTTCGACGGGGGGGGGGGGGGGGGGGAAGGAGGGGGGTTATCGTCCTTAACGAGCTACTGATAGTGTTTTAAAGCAAATATTTTCAGTGGCAGCGTTGGTATGTCGAATTAACAAATTATGAATTACTGAAAAGTAGAAAATAAAACAACTAAATAGCGGCGTATAATATGCCGCGGGTCGGCTCGTTACTTTTAATGAGTTCTTATTCATAAAAAACAAAAGTACGACCATTTCTCTACAAAAATAATGGATTGGATTAGTCTTACCATATATACTTTAATTTTTTTATAATGCGGCTAAACGTATAGGGACTTATTTATATGTTAATATGCAAAAACATGTACGTGTTGTGAACCCAACATGGGGGGGGGGGGGTGGTCTGTCCACACTGAAGGTAAAATCAACAGTAATGTCCATAAACTAGTGGTCAATAAAAGCGTTCCCAACGTCCACACAGATGAGTCTCAGACACGAGAGTAACCTCGCTTAGCTTATACACATGTTTTTGCTTACATAACTTTAACAGGTGCCTCAAATCGGGTCCAAAGAGCACGTAACTGCGTCCTTCACCTTGACCAACTTGTAAAACAATGCAAAAGCCTGTCTCACTGTCTGTGAGAGTGGGAATGTGGAGACAACTTTCTGTGTCTGCGGTTGATTAATGAATGGCCTCTTGTGTTCCCGTGTTGTGTTTGTCAGGTTTCGTGAGTCATGACTCGAGAGAAGTGAGGTCAAATGTCGGAGGTTTGTCAAGGTCGAATTCATTAAAATTTGGACGAGAAAAGCAGACTTTAAAATGTTTTATCTTGGTGTCTGTAGCTTGGATGGTGTCGGCACCCCCCGGCCGCACCCCCCTGCCACACCCCCGGCCCCATCGCTGCCTTGTGCGTTACTCACATTATCGACGCCACTTTTTATTTTAAAATATACGAAATAGATTCCCCATCAAAGTCTGCAGATAATAATGTGAATTCTTATTTTCCATCAACTTCTGCACATAATACTGTGAATCTGCTTACTTCAATGTTTTCTGTCAATTTAAAAATAGTAACGTGAAATTATTTTACAAAGAACCCATGAGGCTATTCCTATAGATCCACCTACATTTCCGATCAATTGATTATTCTTAGTTCTATGTTTTCTCCGTTTAAAGGCTATTTACCATAGCCGATTGAAGGAACGCCTACGTGCTTTGTAGCCCTTTGCATTGCTGAGTACGTATGAAAAGACAGCTTGTCTATTTACACGGAGCCGTTTTGTAAAAAATCTTGTGTACATTACATACGAGACGGACATTTTTTTTAGAACCGTTCTTTTAGAAACTTTGACTTGCAAGGGAATGCTCTTGTAAAAAAAAAAAAAACTCGTTGCTGTGTTTAATCTTTGATTCTTTTCTTTTGGAAAATTTAAACTTCATATCTTTGATTCCTTCGTTTGGGAGAGTTTTTTAATTCCCCATTTCTGGATATAATTCGTGGATTGTTTTTTGTGTGTGGGCAACATCAGGTAGGTTTTGTGGTTCTGTTCATCTGGTCGACTGGGTCCACATGTAGCTGTTGGACCCTACTGTAGCTCTTGGACCCACTGTAGCCATTGACGACAGGAACCAAGTTATCAGAACCTTGTTTCTTGGTATACTCTTGACACTGTTCGGTATGTTGACATCAGAAAGTTGTTTTGTTGTTGTCTACCGAGCTAGATCTATAAGTTGTCAACAAACAGCTACTTTGTTTGTCTACATTGATCTACACCTTTACAGTAGAAAGTTGTTTTGACCAATGGTGTACTTCTAAATTAACGAAGAAAATAAAACCTAACCCTTGAAATAAAAACTACTGCTACTAACATGGACTGGGACATTTATTGGGTGGAGCTTCTTGGGAAAAGGATATTGTCCTTAAAGGACGTCACGCAGTTTTAAACCGGTTAATACCCCCCCCCCCCCATTCACACACCGCCTATAGTCCACGATCTTTAGTCATCGCTGTAATATCTTAGTAACCTGTAGTATTTAAACATTTTCTAATCAATAATGTATCCCTAAATACTTGTATCAAAATGTTTAAATTTTTTGGACTATGACTGTATGGTGAAAAACTCAACACTATCTTACTTTCTATGTTCCCCCCCCCCCCCACACACACACCAACCGTAGCATGTGTTGGTCTGTCGGCCTTTTAGATGTCGGTATTTATTCAGGAGTCGAGGAAAACATTACTTATAATCAAACCACTGACAGAATAACGAAAACGCTATCACACCCGAACCGACATCGTATACAGGCCAGGGATTTCCCTTTTGGACTATGACTGTATGGTGAAAAACTCAACACTATCTTACTTTCTATGTTCCCCCCCCCCCCCCCCCCACACACACACCAACCGTAGCATGTGTTGGTCTGTCGGCCTTTTAGATGTCGGTATTTATTCAGGAGTCGAGGAAAACATTACTTATAATCAAACCACTGACAGAATAACGAAAACGCCATCACACCCGAACCGACATCGTATACAGGCCAGGGATTTCCCGGCACTTCACGAACTGGCCG